AGAACATTCCAGAATATGTTGTACCGTCTACATTCCCAGCTTCTGCAGCCTCACCTTGTTAGTCAAAGGCCTAATTTATAATAATAGTAATAATCCTTGTAATTGATATAGCGCTTTTCACGTCGGAAGGATGTCCCAAAGCGCTTCATAGAACACACTGTAAAGTGAATTGACTGTATAGTTGTGGGCGAACGCGGCAGCCAATTGCGCACAGCAACATCCCACAAAGTGTCGTAGATTGAAAATGACCAATTTATTATTGTTTTTGGTTTTGGAGGGATTATTATTAGGCTCTGTGTGGAGTAAGGAAACTTGCCCGAGATTTCGCCCTCTGCCTGGAATTGAACTCAGGTCTCTCACTTGCAAAGCGAGTGCTCTAACCACTGAGCTACAGGATTCCACCGTAGTCAGTCAGGAACCTGGGTGTTTTGTTCGACCTTCAACTATCTTTTCTTCCCCACATTCAAGCCATGACCCGCTCTGCCTTCCCTCACCTCCATAACATCGCCCAACTCCGCCACTACCTCACCCCTCAGGCCACTGAAACTCTTGTTCACACCTTCATCACCTCCAGGCTCAACTCTGCAAACGCTCTGCTTGTCGGCCTTCCCAACTCCTCCCTCCACAGGCTGCACATGATCCAGAACTCTGCAGCCCATGTCCTCTCCCACACCAAACTCCGTGACCCAATCTCCACCACTCTCGCCCAACTCCACTGGCTCCCTATCCTTCATGGGATCCAGTTCAAGATCCTGGTCCTCACATACAAAGCCCTCCATGTCCTCACCCCACCCTACCTCTACGACCTCCTAACCCCCTACCAACTCATCGGTTCCATCTGCTCAGCTGGCTCTGGCCTGCTCCATGTCCCCAACCCACCCGCCCCACCATGGGCAGGAGAGCCTTCAGCCACTCTGCCCCCAATCCATCCCCCAGTCATTCCGCCTCGCCTCCTCCTTAGCCTCCTTCAACTCCCGCCTCAAGACCCTCCTCTTCGAGTTCATTGAGTATATGAGAGTTAACTTTCTGGCGCAGCATGCAGAGGAACCAACTAGGGCACAGGCCATCCTAGACCTTGTTTTGTGTAACGAAACGGGGCTAGTTGGCAGTGTAGGTATTAAGAATCCTCTAGGGCAGAGTGATCACAATATGATTGAATTCTGCATTAAGTTAGAGAGGGATATAGTTAAATCCGAAGCAAGTATTCTGAACTTAAATAGAACTAATTTTGAAGGTATGAGGAAACATTTAGGTAAAATAGACTCGAGAATAAGATTAAGAGGTAAAATTGTAGACCAACAGTGGCAAATATTTAAGGATGTAGTACAAAATTCTCAGCGGTCGCATATTCCCTTGCGGAATAAGAGAAATAATAATAATAATAATCCTTGCATTTGATATAGAGCGTTTCATGTCAGGAGGAAATCCCAAAGCGCTTCACAGAACACACTGTAAAGTGAATTGACTGTATATTTGTGGGCGAATGCAGCAGCCAATTGCGCACAGCAATGTCCCACAAACAGTCGTAGATTGAAAATGACCAATGTATTATTTTTTTTGGTTTTGGAGGGATTATTATTAGGCGTGTAATGGGGGACAAGGACATGGCAGAGTCCCTAACTGTGTACTTTGCATCTGTCTTCACCCTAGAAGACACAACAAATCTGCCAACAATAGAGATGCACCAAAGGGATAAGGAAAGGGAGCAACTTAGGGAAATTTTCATTAGTGGAAAATTGGTGCTAGGGAAACTGTTAGCACTAAAAAGTGACAAATCCCGTGGTCCGGATGGCTTGCATCCCAGGGTTTTAAAAGAGGAGCTTATGAGATAGTTGAGGCCTTGTGTCTGATCTTCCAAAATTCCGTGGAACAGTCCCCATGGATTGGAAGATCGCAAATGTCACACCACTATTTAAAAAAGGTGGAAAGGAAAAAATGGGGAACTATTGGCCAATTAGTCTCACATCAGTGATAGGAAACATTTTAGAATCATTGATTAAGGATGTGGTAGTGCAGTATTTAGGGCACAATATAATTAGGCCAAGTCAACATGGCTTTACAAAAGGGAAGTCATGTTTGACAAATCTCAGAGTTTTTTGAGGATATTTCTAGTAAGCTAAATAAGGGTGAATCAGTGGATGTGGTCTATTTGGACTTCCAGAAGGCATTCGATAAGGTGCCGCATAAAAGGTTAGTCCAAAAGATAAGGGCCCATGGAATTGGGGGGAACATATTAACGTGGATTGGGGAATGGTTAATGGGTAGGAAACAAAGAGTAGGGATAAACAGGTCCTTTTCGGATTGGCGGGATGTGACTAGTGGAGTGCCACAAGGATCAGTCCTTGGGCCTCAGCTATTTACCATCTACATCAACGATCTAGATGAAGACATTGAAGTTAATATATCTAAATTCGTGGATGACACAAAACTAGGAGGAAGTGCCAACACAGAGGTCGACATTAAAAAAATGCAGTGAGACATAGATAGGTTAGGTGATTGGGCAGGTAGGTGGCAGATGAAGTATAATGTAGGGAAGTGCGAAGTCATCCGCCTCGGTAGCAAAAACAGTAGAGCGGGTTATTTTTTAGAAGGGGAGAGATTGGAATGTGTTAGGGTCCAGAGTGACTTGGGTGTCCTTGTACACGAATCACAGAAAGTTAGTCTGCAGGTGCAGCAGCAATTAGGAAGGCGAACGGTATGTTAGCATTCATTATGAAAGGATTAGAGTATAAGAGTAGGGAAGTCTTGCTGCAACTGTATAAGTCCCTGGTGAGACCACACCTGGAATACTGTGTCCAGTTTTGGTCTCCTCATTTAAGGAAGGATGTACTTGCCTTGGAGGGGGTGCAATGTAGATTTACTAGGTTAGTGCCAGGGATGAAGGGGTTGAGTTACGAGGATAGGCTGACGAATTTGGGCCTATATTCTCTAGAATATAGAAGAATTAGAGGGGATCTTATAGAAACTTATAAGATCATCAAAGGGCACGATAGAGTAGATAGTGGGAGATTATTTCCCCTGGTTGGAGAAACTAAAACCAGGGGTCACAACCTTAAAATCAGAGGCAGCCCTTTCGCATTGAGTTGAGGAAGAACTTCTTCACTCAAAGGGCAGTGAATGTGTGGAACTCACTACCCCAAAGGGCTGTTGACGCTCATATTCAAGACTGAGATAGATAGATTTCTTATTGCAAAAGGGATTAAGGGATATGGGGATAAGGCAGGGTCAGGTTATTAGCTGGAGTTAGATTAGAAAATCAGCCATGAATGAATGGAGGGCAGGCTCGAAGGGCCGAATGGCCTGCTCCTGCTCCTACATGTTATGTTATGTTATGTTCGACCATGCCATCAGCCACCCCCCTTTTCCCTCCCCTCCCTTACCCCCCCAACCCCAGCTCGGGTCTGAAATGCTGTACTCTGTCCAGCGCTTTGGAACGTCCTCCCGACGTGAAAGGCGCTATACAAATGTAATCTTGTTGTTGTTGTTGTAGTCGCCCTTCACTGTATTCTTTTCAATGCTCTGTAATATGCCAACCAGAATGTACACAGGAAAACTGAACTCTGCGTCCCATCACTGCTGTGTATAAATTCAGTAAGTATCATTCCCTGAGACTTTTGCTGTAATAACACAGGACTTAGTTTGCTCACTTTACTATGTGGCAAACTATAATGACGGGTTCAGCAATCAATTCAACAGTACTACCAAATCCCTCTCCTGTATCATGTTGTTTATATTTATCATGTTTATTTTCCTTCCAAATTTATCCAAATGCCTATGTATGATATTTGATCGTTGTTCCTTTTTTTGAGAATACAGAAAATTACAAATCACATGGAACAACAAAAATAACTAAGCTGTGCTGTCATTAGCAGTGCCCTGGAGTTCTGCAGACCCACTTGACTTGGGAACTGGTCAACAAGACCACCACAGAGGGTTGGTCTGATTCTGAGAAACGGATCACCTTTGGAACCGCTTATCTTCCCTCTCCCACCCCAAGAAGGATTGTCACTCGTGGAATGTTTGACAACCAACAAGTACAGGTTTGAGCCCTCACTAGGACCTCGCTCCAAGCTTCTTGGTGAGCTACACTGTTGCTTATTGCTCACTGGCGTTCTGCCCGAATGGGCTTTATTTATGTGTGAGCCACAGCAGTGAGCCATAGCAAGCTACAGGAGAAAACCTGAAGAGGAAAAAAATGATCTTCAAGCAGCTATGGTTCCACTAACTCTCCAAATCACATGTCACTGCCTCCACCAGCAGGAACATGGAGGGATTGCAGAATTGTGTGTCAGCCTGGCGCAATGGTAGGTAGCACTCTTGCCTCTGTGGCAAAAGTTGTGGGTTCAAGCCCCATGTCGAGAATCACATAGTTTAAGGTGACCCTCTATTGCAGTGCTGGGGAATGTTACATTGTCAGAGATGCTGTCCTTCGGATTGCAAGTAAACCAAGGTCCCATCTGCCTGTTCAGGCAGACGTTAAAGATCCCATGACACTATTTGAAAAGAGAAGAGAGTTTCTCCCGGGGGTTCTGGCCAACAATCCAAATAAAATTGGTTACTTACTCCATGGCTGTTTCTAGGACATTGTTTGTACACAAATTGGCTGCCAAGGTTCACCCACAAAATACCCAATCTTTACACTTTACAGTATATCCTGTAGTCTTGTAGCTCAGTGGTGACAGCACTCGCCTCGCAAGTGAGACCTGGGTTCGATTCTCGGCAGGGCAAAACCTTGGGCAAGTTTCCTTACTCCACATTCCTGATAATAATCCCTCAAGGAAAAAAAACACAATAATTTGGTCACTCAATCCACGATTGTTTGTGCACAATCGGCTGCCGGGTTTCGCCCACAAAATATAGTCAATTCACTTTACAGTATTTCTGTGAAGCGCTTTGAGATATCTAGAAGCTGCGAAAAGCCCTATATCAAATGCAAGGATTATTATTATCCTGTGAAGCACTTTGAGACACCTTGACAACATGAAAGGCACTATATCAAATGCAAGGAATATTTATTTATTTAATTCTGGCAAAGAGAAACTTAGCAGTGAGCCATATCATTACGTAAAGCCTACACTCAGGGTTGACCAGTTTTTCCCACATTTGTAAATGTTAGGATTGCAGAAAGAAATCTCTCAGTATCCGTTGTAATTAAACACTCCATATATAGGAATTAATAGTATATTTTATTTGTAAAAAGACTGAATCCTACGGTATAAAAGATAGGGTTAGTGTTACCCAGTTGATGAGCTGGGAGCCTGAAATCACTATACTCTGAGCAGCAGAAAACATCTTTTGCACCCACACTCACTCAGACTGAGAAGCCAATTTGCAATGTGATCCATTGCCACAAATGGAGAAAAATTCTTGCACGATTCCTAGCGACTATTTTCTGTGAAGGCATTTTCAAAGGCTTTAGACTTTCATACTCCATTCAATCTTCAGTTAGGCCAGTTTACTGAGTAACTTATTGGATGCTCAGCACTATTGATGTCCCCACTGCTTAGCAGATATCAAATAACCAAATTTTAACCATCCTCTGGGACAAGCTGGTTCCAAGGTGATGTGCTTGATGGTAAAAGAATGTTGTAGCCTAGACTCTAAGCCAGGAGGGTCACTGCTGATGTCAGACCCAACCATCAACAGGACTTGCAGGAGGAGATTGGGGGATGGATTATTCCCACTCAGCTCCTCTTAACTCTGCAAGTCAAAGCCCTCGTGGTTGGTATGGAGCCAAGCATCCTTTGAAACTTGTTGAAACTTTTCAGACATTGCAGTCCAACTTTACCTATTCAAAGCTTCATTGTGATTAAGGGGACATGTGATAACTGGCATGCGAATGACATTCTGCAGTATAAATAATTTCAATTGACAGAAAGTTAACTGTAGAAATGCAAGACAGCACTCTCAACCCCAAACAACTTGTAATTAACCACAAACACATTTCACTAAGACAACTAAGGTGCCTAACAAACATACAAAATTATATCTGTTGGGTTATTTATTCTCAGATTGAAAGGCTGTTTTTTAGACTAACATATCTTGTATGCTTGTCTTAGCTCTTGTAGGTTAGCTACATTTATGGCATTCACTACATGTTGTTTGTTTGGCTTCTTTACAGCTTGTTGATGTTTTGGTTTCTCTCCTTGATCCGGAACAGACTCCAACTCTGTCACACTGCCCAGGTCTGAATCATCTTCCTCTTGGAAATATTGAAATAACTTCATACATTTCTCTCTCTCTGCACTGCTCAGAAATTCCACGTTGAGGCTAAAACGTTTGGTTTCAGAGAAATTCTGCAGGATCTGGTAAATTGCCAGCTGGTCTTTCTGTTGGAAATGATCAGAAAGGATGACGAGAAACTCCCCAAGAAATCCAAATCCAATTTCTGTACAGAAGATTTGCCCCAAACGTTCACCACCGAGGTTCAAAAGACATCCATACTTTTCTGGTCCAGTCTTGTAGTATCTCCTCCAATCACGGTTAAAATCACCTGCAGTCTTAAGCTGGGAAGTTGAGTCCTATGGTTTGGGAATAGACAGTTAAAGTGGGGGTAGATTGTTAAATTGATATGTGCGTAAAGTTATAAGGAGCATCTTATAAATTTGAACTTCTTTTCAAAAAAGATTGAGAGGCATGATCCTGAGTCCATCTATTCTTAGCTTGTAAAACCATTTTACTGTAAGATTTAAGATTTATGGAAAATTCTTAAATTCAGCCGAAACTTGGAACCCAATTATTTTAACAGATAATAATAATAATCGTTGCATTTGATATAGCGCTTTTCACGTCGGGAGGACGTCCCAAAGCGCTTCACAGAACACACTGTAAAGTGAATTGACTGTATATTTGTGGGCGAACGCGGCAGCCAATTGCGCACAGCAACGTCCCACAAAGTGTCGTAGATTGAAAATGACCAATTTATTATTGTTTTTGGTTTTGGAGGATTATTATTAGGCTCTGTGTGGAGTAAGGAAACTTGCCCGAGGTTTCGCCCTCTGCCTGGAATTGAACTCAGGTCTCTCACTTGCAAAGCGAGTGCTCTAACCACTGAGCTACAGGACTCCACAAATACAGATACAGAAAGCCAACTTCCACATTAAGATTAAGATTTACGTCACACTGAGGATGTGAATGGCTGAATGTGTCTCAGCAATGTGAGTGACACTGGTTTGCCCACAAGGGCACAATTTATTTATACACATTGAAAGTTGTCAAAAAGCAGGTTTGCTCACCTTAGATATTTCTATGGGAATATGGTCACTTTTGTTCGATGTCTTAGCACAAACATTCCAAACTCCATTCTTTCTTTCTCCAAATTTGTCCCTTCTGTTCAAAGGCTTCAGGTGCGACGCCAACACGATATCACTATCAAACAGATGGAAAAGACTATATAAATGTCTGCCCTTTGGGTCTTCAAGTTATTAAGTCACTTCCGGAGAGATCCCGGACCAGGAGAGCTCCCGGACCAGACAGAGCTCCCGGACCAGGAGAGATCCCGGACCAGGAGAGATCCCGGACCAGACAGAGCTCCCGGACCAGACAGAGCTCCCGGACCAGACAGAGCTCCCGGACCAGACAGAGCTCCCGGACCAGACAGAGCTCCCGGACCAGACAGAGCTCCCGGACCAGACAGAGCTCCCGGACCAGGAGAGATCCCGGACCAGACAGAGCTCCCGGACCAGGCAGAGGGGATGCGCGGGGGGGAGTTACCGGAATTCCTGGTAAGATCCCACTCGCTGTTCAATGGCGCGGAATTTCGCCTCATTTTCCCGTTTGTGTTTGTGATCCAAAGCCACGGCCGCGCGCAGCTCCCGCTCCAGGGCCTCGGGCCCCGGGGCCTCGCGCCCCGCCATCCCCGGTCACGGTCACCGCGGGCGCGGGCGGGGAGGCGGTTGGTGGCGCGTTGTTGCCGTGACAACAGACTCAGCGTGACGTAAAGTAAACGTACGTCATGGCGTCATATGCGGCATTGGGGACGGCGCCAACCATGGGTAAGGAGCTGTGCGCATGCGCTCCCGCCTGCACCGCGCACCCCAATCCAACCAGGAGGGGGAGCCCGAGAGGCGCAGCGCGGGGGGGGGTCGTGTCCCATTGGGAGGACAGACACTGAGCCATTGGGGAACCACAGAGCCGTCAGTGAGAGGACATGGACCTGGGAAGGCATTCGTGATAAACAGTAACGTAGCCGCACAGATACAGTCACAGAACATTTGTACTGTCGCTACAATTGCAGGAATTAGTAAATCCACCAAATATTATTTGAAGCCCTGTTTATGATAGTAAAATAATTTTGCAATGTTTTCTTCCTACTATTTCCCCCAAATCAACAGTAAATTATTTCTCAATGACTTGCAGCAATGATTAATAATTATTGATACTGAAGCATTACTATAACAATTCCATATTCACACAGAGATGCCTCAATGCTATTCAATGCTTAGTACTGATAAATTGGATGTTATTTGTGCCAAATTTGTGCATAAGAATCACACAAATACAAATCAATGTTAAAGAGTCAATGTTAAAATAAGGAGTCCAAGGAAATTGCACACAAAACTACTGAAAACAAATGCAGAGTAAGGGAAGGGATCTCATAAAGGAAAGCGGCTCCAGAAAATGCAGATGGAAAGACTAAGGAAAATACAGATTATGAAAGTAAATTAACTAAGGGAAAGCTATAAAAAGAGAGGAAAATGACTAAACAAAGTACAGAATAAGTAATGTTGTTGTTAATAGTAGTACTAGTAGAAATTGTTGTAACTGCTGTGCAGAACATAGAGTAAACTGAGCTTTTATTAAAAAAAAGTAAACATTAACTATATATACTATTTTCCAGAAATGATCTGCAAATTATTTCTTAATATCTTGCAGTATGATGTCACTATCATTGATACTTCAGTGTGACTATAACAATTCCATATCCATACAGGGATTCCCACATTTGACAGGTGCCCTGCTGCTATTCAATGCATTTTCCAGGAATTGCTCGACCTTATAAACAGAATATTGTCCTGCCAGCTTTGTATAGATTGCAAGAATCATGTCGATAAATATCGTGTAGAGAAAGCTGAAGCTAGCACTAGTGGAAAAGGTATGAGTGAAATAAAAGGTACCCCACAAACAGAAAATGACTCTGTGACTGAGCTAAATGAAAGGAAAGGGGGAAAGAAAACACATTCTGAGATGAAGAAAGAAAGAAGAGATTCTTTGAAACGGACAGGCACAAAATCATCACACAGGAGAGATTCACTGGTCAAGCCAGACAGAGGAAGGAGAGTTGCTCCCACAAAAAGAAACAGAGGGAGGAGCAGAACTCTGGAAAACATGAAGAGTAAAGAGAGAGACCCAGCAAGGAGAAATTCTGATGTTGAGAACCTGAGGGAGAGAAGACACACTAGTGTATCTGCACTGAAAGACAGAAGAGAGAAGTCTACAATAAGGAGAAAGTCCAGCACAGCAAGTCCAACAGTGAAGAAACACTCCAGCACTGAGAGATCAGCAGTGGGGAAAAATTCTACTACAGGAAGAGCAGCCATGAGGAGATCCTCCAACATAATTTCTCCAGCAAGGAGAAATTCTAGCCAAAAAAGGCCAACAATGAATAGCACAAAGAGGCTAACGGCAAAGAGTGGTTCGAGAGCAGGAAAAGTAAACTACAGTCAATTCTAGAACAAGAAGGCAGGGCTCTGGGGGTGATTCTAGAGCAAAGAGCCCAACAACAAAGAATATTTCTGGAGCAGGGAAACAATCAACAAATGGTAATCCTGGAACAGGGAGGATGACAACAAAGAGTAATTCCAGAGCATACGAGGTATCTGAGGATTATTCTAGAACCAGACAAACAACTACTAGCACTTCTAGAAATATTGCAACAATAAAAATAGTTCTGGAACGGGGGCAACAGCTGGGAGAAACTCTGGCCCAGAGAGTCTGAAAATGAAGAGAAACTCTAATATAGGATAGTCAACAGCAAAGAGTAATTCTGGCAGAGAGCAGCTGAAAGCGAAGAGAAAGGCTCTAGTACAGAGTGGCTGAAATGGGAACCATAGAAGGCTATGAGAGGTAACCACAAAATTCTTCAAACAGGATCAGGGCCAAGATTCATTATTTATACAACTCTGGCTATGAATGTTTACTATGTTTAACTTCTTTACAACTGGTAGCTTTCCAGCTTCAATGGAGAACAAATTAAGACAATCATGTGAAAATGTCAAAGCAGCAGATGATGAGTCCATTGCAGACACTTGCACCGAATGCCATGACTCCCAGTATGTGACTAAATATATTTGGCCAAATTACATATATGCCAAGATGGAGCAACATGCAGATGAAGCCAGATAGCAACACTGCTGATTTTTCCAACAACACAAGGGGTGATTGATTGCACACAGTGTCATTGCTGCACCCAACACAGTATCATAAACTCCAAGTTGTCTGATTACATGAGACACACATTGAATGTGCTTGCGTAGTTTGCTAGAGGGAATTTTGAGTTACATTTCCTCAGGGTGAGTAATGTCCCAAAGATGTTCTATGAAGGGAGGATCGATGCCTGGTGTTTGTTGGCATGGGGTCACATGATATTTCACTAGTTGATGTCGCTCTAGCGGAACACAAGTGGAACACAGCTTTTACCAGGATTTTTTTTTGAATTGTGTAAAATATAACACAAAAGCTTATGTGTTATAGAATAAATAGATTTATTTAGTTCTGAATTGGACATTATTGTGTTTTGCTCAGATGTTTCCTCTTGGTTGTTTGTCAGTTGGAATACACTGATTGGGTAATTGGACTTCTTCAAGAAATACATTTGCAGTAAATGAGGAAGAGAAAACAGTTGGTTGTCATTATTTGTTGTTACAGTTCATCTTTGCTGGGCTCCAACGTTGCCCCAACAATTAGATCATTCTTCACCTATTGATAGATTCACCAATATTTTGCAGTGTGAGGTTATAACATTATATCGCATAAAAATTCAGTCTGTTGAGTGTGAAGTTTACCAGGAAGCAGAAAATTATCCCAATTTGTCAAAAGTTCAGCTGTAGAAGAGTACTTACACTTTTACTTCCCTTACCAGCCAACCTGGCCTCTTACTGAGTGAAATTGCTAATTTAATGTCACTTTGCGCTAAATTGTGAGTATTTTTATGTTGGCCAGAAAATGTTTCAATCTATGTTAGTGAGATTGCACAAGAACGGTGGATTGCAGAGAAAATATTTTTTGAAATACCTTCTTTATATTACTCAGAATAAGGAAGTGACTTTGCTCAATTTTATAAGAGTTCACAAGACATTGTTCCTCTTCCATCTGTGGAATGTTTCACATCAAGAGTTTCAGATAAATGTATTCTTCTTTTGATGCAATGTGTTTACCAACTTTTGTTGGTTTGAGAGGATCAAACTCACTTAAGGAGGATTCAGTCCATTACAAAATGTGACAAATCAGACATGTCAGATACAAGGACATAGATGCCAAGAGTTGAGTCTCACTTGTTAGCTCTGCAAACTTGCTGTCCAACTGGTAAAGTGATGTATTGGTCTTGGAAACAGTCAACTATTCCACACAACATTAAACATCATGATGGGATGACGCACAATTTTTAAGCATGTGTGGGACAGGTTGGCATAGCAACAGTACTGTTAACTGTAGTAGCAAATAAAAGACTTGATTATATAAGTTTTGTGTCTACATAGCTCCTATAAAGAACTGTGTGGAGATTACTGTACACACTCTGATTTGATTTGACAGCACGCATATAAGAACTGGAGATAATAAATTATTCCAACACTGGAATTATTTCTTATCTACAGTAAAATCAGTTCAGACTAAGATATAAATTTAGTGTTAATTATTTAGAAAGGTGTGTCTGTTTAAAGAGGGGTAGAGTCATATTTCATGTAATGCAGTGTGTGTGTGGGGGGGGGGGGGCGGGGAGATGTCTGTATAACATGAAAAGCAAAATCCAGAGAAATTTACGGCACAGAAGGGAGACATCCAGCCCACTGTGTTCATTACTACCTCTACCCTCACCAGCTGAGTCCTTCATCCACACATTAACACATCCAGGCTTGACTACACTAACTCCCTGTTTGTTGGCCTTCCCAACTCTTCCCTTCACAAGATGCAGATCATTCAGAACTGTGCAGCTCATGTCCTCTCCTGCGCCAGGCTCGGTGACCCTATCCATCACCCCCACCCTCCGCTTGGCTTCACTTGGCATTGAGTGAAGAACCGTTTTGAGTGGAAAGAGTTGATGATGTTCTTTTTTTAACAGTCAAAGGAAAGGGATTTGCGTATTGTTATATTGAAATAAATACGGTACTAAATAATCCGAACGGTTGTCGGGAGGATTGAGCATTGAGTGTGGAGCCCCACAGACTGGAAGAGCAAAGAGATAAGAGGATTCAGGTCAGGGGCAGCCAATGCTGAGCCAATCCGCGGCCACGTCCCCGTTTCTGCTGCGAGTGACAAGAGAAAGGAAACAGCAGAGACTTCGGCGGCGGCACTGGGAGGAGGTCTCGGTGAGTGAGGGTCTGATTTTTTGCTGTTTGTTTGAAAGACAAAACTTTCTCGTGACGAACAGATTTTACACGTTATTTAAAGCGACAAAAAAAAAACCCCCCGAGCAGTTTAGAAGAGATTCGGTGCGAGGGAACAGGAGGTGGGATCCTAACAGTGAGCACAAAGCCAACTCGGAGCAGACGGAGCAGTGAGTCGAGGCGCCTCACAAAGGAGCGGCTCAGTGTGGCTATTGTTTACAGCAAAGTGGCTTTTCACACTCACATGTGCCTCGGCTCCGAGGAGATTTTTCTTAAACTTTTGTTTAAATAAAAACGATCCGAGTTGCGCTGCTGTGAAGCTGCTGATCAGCGGCTGCTGATCGGAGGCTGTGAGCAGAGCAGAGATGGCAATGATGGAGATTGTCTCACAGTCAGAACGACTGTCAGCTCCATTGCAATGTGATCACTGACCCTGGTCTGGTCTGAGAGCCTTTAATACATCCCGTGTGTCGCTGTAATGTGCGTGTAATGCTGCTCGGGGGGGAGACACAGGGAAGCAGTTCCACCTGAACACTGGCTGAGCGGCTCCTGGCAGCGGATTAATGATGAGACAGACCCAAGGCGATGCTGTACCTTCCCTGTGGCCTGTGAGCCCCAGTCAATGTCTCTGTGAGGAATTGAGGGGAGAGTCGCACAGTTGCCTTCAATCGTGTTAGGAGTGTTAGGAGTGAAGTGCGGGGCGAGTCAACCCCTAGGGACCGGTCAGCCCTCAGCCCCTGGGGACCGGTCAGCCCTCAGCCCCTGGGGACCGGGTCAGCCCTCAGCCCCTGGGGACCGGGTCAGCCCTCAGCCCCTGGGGACCGGGTCAGCCCTCAGCCCCTGGGGACCGGGTCAGCCCTCAGCCCCTGGGGACCGGGTCAGCCCTCAGCCCCTGGGGACCGGGTCAGCCCTCAGCCCCTGGGGACCGGGTCAGCCCTCAGCCCCTGTGGACCGGGTCAGCCATCAGCCCCTGGGGACCGGGTCAGCCCTCAGCCCCTGGGGACCGGGTCAGCCCCTGGGGACCGGGTCAGCCCCTGGGGACCGGGTCAGCCCCTGGGGACCGGGTCAGCCCCTGGGGACCGGGTCAGCCCCTGGGGACCGGGAGAGAGCGGGATGTCTGGGATTAGACAAACTGCTCAAATACAAACCATCAAATAACCACAATCGGAATCCTCGCGTTTCATAACGCGACAATCACGTCTTGAAAGGTCTCAATGCTGTCAGATGTCGGGATTGTGTGTTTTTAGTCTAAAGAAGCAAACATGGCAGAAATAATTGAGTTGTGCCGTAAACATTCCTGATCCCAAGGCTATGTGTTGTGCAGAATGTTCAAGGTTCCTACCTCAGGCAATAACCATCACTTGAATCTTAAGCCATTGGCTCAGGTCATGGCCAGGCATCTCATGGATATTTTTCATAGTTCACTTGTCAGGCGAATCCCAGAGGTTTGGAAAATTACAAATAAGAAATTATTTAACCATCAAACCACAGAGCTATAAGCCATAATGAGTGTCGGCAATGATTTGAAATAATGATTAGAAATAGTATAATAGTATAGTATAAGAGTTTACCTTGAAGGACACAAGCTAATGAGAGATGGGTGGTGTGGCATTGTATGTGGGAGGCTGTGCATAAAACATTATTGGATTTCTTTGAGGAAGTTACAGAGCTGCTGGTTATGGGTGAGTTGGTGGATTTTATAAACAGTATTTTTATTTCAGAAAGATATTTGGCACAGTTCCACGTGATATACAACTAACAAATATTGGTATTGGAGCCATTGTTGTTTGTACATTTATACAAATGATTTGGTACAGTGAAATCCGGTGGTGAAATCCAGTTTATTGAATATCGAATAATTGAATGGTTTATTGAATAGAATTTAGAAATCCCAAATCATTTTCATGCCTAATCTAGGAATATAGATAGGTTAATTGAATACTGGATATACAGTAAATCCTATCGTATAATCGCCTAAATCATACATCCACCCAAGTTCCATTCAGTTTCCTATTAAAACCACTTAGATTTCTTTGCACCAGTCGTGTTTATCACCTCCACACTCCCCTCGTCTCCCCTCCCCCCTCTACTCCCCCCCCCTCCTCCACTCCCCTCCCTGCCGTCCCCTACCCTCGCCTCCCATACCTTCCCTTCCCCTCTTTCCCCCTCCCCTCCCCTGCCTCTTCTCCCACATAGAAAGATTGACCATCCTGAGACTTTTCACTTAACAAACACTGTGAGGAATTGATGTAAAACTGTATTTTACAATTATGCAGAGTTTAGATCAGTTTCTCTTCCATGTAGAATGCTTAAGAACAAGGGATCATATGTTCAAAATAAGAACAAAAATAAAAGGAGGTGGCTGGAGACATTGATTTTGGTAATAAGGTGATAAACATATGGAACAAACTACCAGCACAAAAGGTAAAACAGGAACTATAATAGTTTCAGAAAGGGACTGTCAACTAAAGTTTTTGTCAACTAAAAAACACTCAGGGTTTCTAAAATAAAGCTTCAAGGGAATACAAAAGGAAATTGGATTGTTGTTCAATGGAGCAATTTCAACTCTTGCCTGAATTTAGTACTATTTCACTATATAAATGTGTGGTGTCTGCACGTGCCTCATTTGCATGTGTTGTGTCTCTGCAGAATAAATTTACTTGTCATTGAACTGCAGTTGAAAGCTTGACTTCCAACATCGGGATCAGAGTTTGAATCTTTGGCTTGGAAAAGTAAGAGTCATAGACACAAATGGAGAATGTATGAGACCAAGACATGTTGTAGAATATAAAATAAACAGTAAAGACAGTGTAACTTCCAAATTGGGGGATTTTTTCCATTGCTCACTATATTTATATTTGCATTCCCACTGGGAACCATGGGTAGTGTGTTCTTTAAATAAAATGAATATTTTATTTTTCCCAATGATTTTGGATACCCCACTGTACCAATTTCCAGAAACATGATAATCTGTATGTAGATATGCACACTTATACTTGTGAATACTGCACTTAGAAAGGCAGGGTTGATCTAGAAGAGTTAGCAGGTAAGTTGGTGGTTATGCTTTAGGGAATATAGATATTCTTGTGTGTATATAAAATATACTTTCAGAAGGAATTTGATGTCACATAAGAGACTTTAAGAAAATGAAATTACTTTCATTAATGGTACATTGGAAGGATGGCAATACGAGAGGTCAAAGAGTAAGGATTGCTAGACGTTTCTTACATTTGCTGGTTGTTAGTAGAATTCCCCAATGATCTGTTCTGTGACCTCTTAGAAATGTTTTCCATTTATATTCATGGTTTCAAAATTCAAAGGGGGGAGCATTTGCTGCTTATACTTATTACTGAGTGTGACAAACTGTGGGAGGATGTGGAAGAGTTGGGAGATAGGTGGCAAATGCAGGTTAGTGTTGAATAATGTGAAGTTATATATTTTTGGAAAAAGAAAAAAGAAAGGATATATACTTTCTAGATGATATATATTACAAGAGGTTTAGCAGGGCTTGCGACATTGCCTGTTTCTGTTCTTGCCTGATGTTCCAACACATACCCATTTTCTAAAAAGTGACCAGTCTCCCTGACAATCTTCACACTGATCTCTCATGGGAACTTCTTGCATTGAAATAAGTTTGGTCAGAAAATTTGACTGGTTGTTTAAAGCAACAAAAATGCAGTTACAGGAGTTTACTGTAATTGGTGTGATATGTACACAAGGCCTTATGACTATTAAAACCACAAAAAATGTGGTCTGTATGATGGTAAGCAAAGTGTAATGTGGTCTGCAGTCAGTCAAAAGTCACTTTGTACAATGTCCTGAATTCATTGCCATCAACACACTCCATTCTCTCTCCTACTGTTCCTCCAAAACTCTATTTTCTATCTTGCAGCAAGATAACTGGTTGGGCCCTGATATCTGTACGGAACCACTGAGCTTCCCTGTCACAGGAAGTGCCATCGTGCGTGGGGCTTTGTGGTTTCCTGCTTTCTTCTGTCGACAACTGTTTACGATAATGAACAGCACTTGAAGCAACAGGAAGCTTTGTAAAACGCAGCCCAGACTTTGCATTTGAGAATATTAAGGCGATTCTTTGTGAACTGATATTATCGGTTGACACCTAAGCAGAGTTTTTCAGTTAGATTCTGTTCGATATTGTCATAATAATCATGATATTCCTTACATTTGGTATTGCGCCTTATTATCTCAAAGTGCTTCACAGGATTACATGTAATATGTAGTGACTGTATAAAATGTAGCGAATGCAGCAGCCACTTTGAACACAATATTATCCCACAAACAGACATGAAATGAATTACTTGGGGGATTGCTGGACAGGACACCAAGAGAGATTCATTCTCCCTTCAACATTGAATCTTGCTCTTTGCTTGTTCTAAAAAAAACACAATGAGGATCAATTTTCTGAACATATATACACACACACACTATAATATTTCATTAAGGTATTCACGATATATATTAAATAAGGGGGATTTCTTCTCCAAACTTTTTGATCTCAATTATTCTGGTTCAGGTTAGCACTGTTGGTAGTATGCACACAGTCTACTGTATTGGGAGATAATAATATGCTAAAGATTTATCATCCTGCAATTCAGCCGCAGGTAATGGTGCAGGCTACGGTTTTATTCTTTGAGAGAATCTCACTGGAGTGTACAGATTATTCCACCAGCCTCAAAGGAGAATGGAGATCCTTCGGGAGTTTGTTTTCTTATAAATAACATACCCATGTAAACTTGGTTAAATCACACTGTCTATGGAAAATTACTGTACAATTACTGCAGCAGTTAAAGTACAAACATTACAAACCCTCGAGTAACATAGTTGCCTTCGGTTTGAATGAACAGCTTTGAGTTGCAGTTAATCTGCAGAGATGGATTGCAGAGAGAGAGGTTCCACAGTGCAGAGGTGCACATCCTTCAGGGCAGAGGGCAAGTAGGTGTCTCAGATTATCACTTTGCCATATATTCCAATACACTGCACAGAATGAATGTACACTTGCATTTATGTAATATTTTTCACATTAAATAATGTGGTTGAAGATATGCTTTTAACAAGGTTTTTCAAGAGCGTTAGTAAAAATAATCCTTTAGGCAAAGACTTCCTGAGGAAAGAATATGGTGGCTAGAAGCTCAGTCACTAATGGTGGACCAAAGGGTGTGGCCAGTTAGCATTAAGACCTTTCAAATTGAAAGAGCGGAGAGGAAGGGGTGCATTGCACCATTGCATTGTCTATTTATAAGCAACTTAAAACAATTTGTCAAATACTTTTTTGTAAAGACTGTTTTTTAAAATTTATCCTGTAGTAGTAACCAGTTATAGAAATAAGCTGTAAAAAGTTACAAGCCTTTTAGTGTTGGGTGAGTACTAGATGGGCACAGTGGCCACAATGTGTAATGTAGAGGATTATTATTAATATGAATTGTGAACAAAAGGCATAAAACCTGAAAACAGTTGCTGGCCACAGTATTGCGTGATGGCAAAAAGGAAGTTGGTCTAATATCTGATAAAAGGTTGTCACAAAATGAAAAACAGATCCGGATATGAGTGAGAAATTCATGCTTGATGCAAAGTTGTTTTTGTGACTGTTTTATTACCTTATTTGGTTCTTTGCAGCTGTTCTCTCATTGTTGCATTTCATTTCTGTTTTTAATTTTATGCTTTTGTTGTTGTAAAGAAGCATGTATTTAGCCATTTTTGAAGCAAATATAATGTAGTCACTGTCCACAACTGTGTACTGCCATGCCTTACTGGCACTTTTTTCAGTTCTAATTCTAGCATTTGATGTAGCGCCTTTATATCATCAAAACATCTCAAAGAGCTTCACAGGACTTATTGCAGAGGATAGTGAATGTAATAATAATAATCCTTGCATTTGATATAATGCCTTATCATGTCTTCAAGACGTCTCAAAGCGCTTCACAGGATATATTGTAAAGCGAATTGACTATATATTTTGTGGGCGAAATGCGGCAGTCAATAGCACACAGCAGCGTCCCACAAACAGCCGTAGATTGAGTGACCAAACTGTTATTTTTTTTTAAGGAATAATTACATCCGGAAAAGCGATCCACCAATCGACTAACAACCGGGTATGTATGTACGTATGTGTGTGTGTGTGTGTGTGTGTCTGTATGTGTGTGGTTGTGTGTGTGTGTGTGTCTGTATGTATGTGTGTGTGTGTGTATGTATGTATGTAGCAATTTACAATTTAGAATGTAGCAGCTACTGTGTACACAGCAGTGTCCCAATAACAGCCATGAAGTCAAAAATCATTTTATCTGGGGAATTACTGGCAAAATGGGAAATTACTGGCCAGATCACTGAGAGAAACTTCCATCTATTTGTCATGGAATGTCCTCCTGATGGGAAGATGGAACCTCAGTTTAATAGCTCATTTGAAGGATTGTACCACTAATAGAGGGTCAGCCAAGACAAAAGTCTTGATGGGAGCTCAAAACCCAACTTTCTCCTAATGTTCTTGAGGAATAAACATAGAAGCAATCGATGCACATTCTCATCGTCTCATAGAGACCCCTAACCCTTGAAACAGTGCTTCGGGTTTTTTTTTATGACTTAGAAACAGAGATGCAAGGCTCACTGAGTGCTTAGAGATGGCCAGAGTTAGAATGAAAGAAACATCATTACTTGTCATTGAGAAGAGATCAGACTTTAAGACGATAAATGTTAGGTTGTACATCACTTGTCGGTGCTGATTAATTCCAAGTTTGATCTCTGCTCCTGTTTATGAGTTACTGCAAAATTAACACAGAAAAGGGATGTTCCCTATAGTCATTTCATCAGTTCAGAATCCAAAAGAAGGAAGGAATTACTGCTGTAAACTGTGTAACTGAAGCCACATGAAAGTTTCTGTTTTTCTACAGTCTGGACAGCCTATTAGCAACTGAGCTGATCTTGCAATAAGAATGAAAAGCTGACAAACTGATCCCTGCTCAGGCTGTGATGAGAAAAAACAACTAGAGAGTTGGAGGGTGAAAAGTTGCATTACTTTGCTGTGGTATACTATAGCTCGAAAATAAATTACAACAATAACACTTGTTCAGGAAGAGACCAGCTCATTCGTATCAATCTGCAATCAATGGGACCAAACAGAGATGCAAAGCTCACTGAGTGCTTAGAGATGGCCAGAGTTAGAATGAAAGAAAAAATGAGATCCTGGAATAGCTGACAATTAATTGTACAATGTTCACAGCTGTTGTTGGCCCCAGAACCAGCTATTCCACTGTCTACAAAGTTATTTAGAATTTTACTTTTGTTTTTATATAATCAGTTCCGTTTTGTATTTTAATATTTCTTACAGATGCAGAAACGACTTTATCAGGAAAACTGAATTTTTCACAACACTTCAACTCTTACCTCAACTGTATTTCAGGACAGTAGCAAAATCATGGTATATATTTCCTGTGTTACAGTGAACGTCTACCTGTATCTGTCCTGTGCTGTAGCAGACTCTACTGGCTCTCCAGCAGATTGAGTTTAAAAACTAACTTTCAAATGCCTCGACACTTGCTCCAACCTCCACTTGTGTCTTGCTGCTCTGTTCTGCTCAGACCTGTTCCACATCTAACTCAGGCCCGCTGCACCAATGTTTTCCCAAATATAATTAGGGCCCTGCTGTTAGCTGCATGTGGCAAATTATTTTACAGCTTTTTGATTTCAAAACATTATCCCAGTGTATCTATCCAGTGTTGCAATGGTTGTCTGATAGTCTGTCGTGTTCTAGTGAGTTTCTGAGTGTCCATCCTGCGTTACAAGATGTATTCTTTGAAGATTACCCCGTAGTCTAACAGACGCCACATTTTGAAGAAAATTATGTTACTTTGAGACATTTTGACATGATAGAAGCACTGTACCAAATGCAAAGATTATTAAGTATTTTAATTTTACTATAATCAACATGAGGCTTAATTGTAGTTTGATGGCTCTTCTCTAGCCATTTTTGTAAGCCTGGACGTCCTATATTCTGGGATTTGCCTCTTAAAAATTTCACAATCATCTGAGATTTCTCAGCCTGTTTCATTAGAGCCTTCTGTCCAGTTCCTTATGCGTTCTCCTCCTTAATGCTTCTCACATCTTTTTTGCTCAGCCCTGCTGCTTTTACCCTCCATCCACCACTTACTCAGGGATAAATTTATTTTTCATCAAGTAGATTAACTAACTTTGGTTTCTCTCCTTTCAACCAGTCGTTTCTCCCACCGCAGATGAAAGAGTCGTGTGCCTCCTGCAATAAGACTGTGTATCCAATGGAGCGGCTCGTGGCTGATAAGCTGATTTTCCACACCTCCTGTTTTTGCTGTAAACATTGCAATGCTAAATTAAGGTAAACTGCAAAACCAAACTCTCAACAAATTGTGCATGAAAAATAATTAGATTTGAATGTTCTTGATGATAGGCCTGTGGCCCCCATCTTGAAAACTTTGTGGCTTATATTGTCAGAATGGGAATAGTTACTGAAAAGGTTGCTTAGAAATAAAGGGGTAAATTCTGCAGGCATTTCCCAGTGGATTCTTGATAAAGAATTTGAAATGGGATCTGCCTTTACCAGTAATTGGAAGATATGTCTTATACCTTGCTCCAATTCAAAAAAACCTTACGTTGAAATTAGCTGAAGTAGAGCTTCAACAAGTCTCAGAATTCAGATATGTTACGAGTTAGATGATGTGTTTTAGAATATATGACTAGTGCAAAGAAATCTAAGGTTTTGATAGGAAATTGAATGGGATGAGTGCATGTACAACTTAGGCAATTATATGATTTATATAGATAGGGCTTATGTGAGTTTTACTGTATCTCACAAACAGCCAAGTAATGAATGACCAATGTTATATGGGGGATTATTGGCCTGAACTCCAGGAGAAACTTCCTTTTCTTTTCGAGTAATTCAGTGGGATCTTTAACATCCACCTGAACCAGCAGACTGGATCTCAGTATAATGTGTCATGTGAAGGACAGCACCTCTGACAATGGAGTGTTGTCAGCCAAGACTAATTTTAAAGTCTTGAAGTGGGGCTTGAATCCATAAAATGACTCGGAGGCAAGATTGCTTGCAACTGAGGTTGACACTAGTTGTATTGTGAAGTTTCTAACAATTTCTCACTCTCTTCAGCCTGGGAAGCTACGCAGCTCTGCACGGAGAGTTCTACTGTAAGCCACACTTTCAACAGCTGTTTAAAAGCAAAGGGAACTATGACGAGGGCTTCGGCCGCAAACAGCACAAAGAGCTGTGGCAACAGAAGGAGACAAAGAGCAGCTCCCAATGAGGTGCCGGCACTGGCACAGCAGCAGCTGAGTAACTTGGACCATCACAACCGGGTCTGGTCTCGCTTTCAACTCAGCAGCACAACATCTGTAACTCTTCTCATCTGTTGATCACTTTTTACTAAAATATAGGTTAAGGGCTTAATGGTAATTGTAAGAGCACCAGAACACCAATCAACTGTGGCTTCCCCAGCTCTGTGCCCACTGTGACCGCCCCCCCCCCCCCCCCCCACCCCCGCCCCGCCTAGTGGCCACATTGTGTAAACGCATATTGAGATTCATTAACCATGAGATTCGATTGCATGGCTAAACACGTTTTATTATTGAATAAACATAAAAGACTGAGAGTATATGACAGAAGTTGTGGTGCAGCAATGCATCACCACTACTGAACAGACATCCCCAGAGTCTGGCATATTTGATAGATTTTTTTTCGGTAAAGTTACCAAGCAATACGGAGAAAAGGTAGGTAAATGGAGTTGATCAGCCATGTTGTTATAGAATGGTGAAATAGGCTTGAAGAGCCTTGAAGGAACAGCTACTGTTCCTATGATATGGCAATATCTGGAGCAGGATGAGCCTGAAACTCTCCCAATTAGGAGACACTTTCATTGAATTGAACTCAATTAATTAATCTTCTGTTGCTTATGCCCTGTGAAAGAGAGCACTTAACCCCCGCACCCTATACAGAGCACTGAGCTCTGGCCCCCATTATAAACAATACCCAATCTTGTTCGATTATTGGTTGAGTATTTAAAATACAGTATTTGAATTTGTTTAATTTTCTTTTTCATTTCATGCAATTATTTGTGGATTTTTTAAAAGCTTGATTGAGTGTTCTGCAATCTTCAAGATTTTACTTGTGTTTGTTGTTACCAATAATAACCTTGCTGAATTTTGTGAGCACCTCGTATCCTTGAACCAGCAACAGAAACATTTTTTAAAAATTGAAATGATGCCTCACCAACAGTTGGAATATTAAAAAGAATATTTTGGTACTAGGTAGTTTGAATATACGTGTATCTATGCATTTTATATATGGCACATATTCACAGAACAAATGGTTGTTGTTTTATTTTAAGAATCGGTACCTCACAATTCTAATATTTTGTGAAATTACATTTCTTTTTTCATTTTAAAAATAAAATATGAAATATGAAATTACACTATAGTAGCAAACGCTTTCCCTCCATCCTGCTGATCGGAAACTGAACCATTAACAAACTTGAGACAGGTCTGAATTGGTAACTGTAACTGATAGATATCTCTTGCTGGACGTATTACAGTGTGAAGCCTTTTCATCTCCCCTGCCCCCCCCCCCCCACCCCAACTTGTGTGCGGAAATTGTTCTATAAACAAGGTTAAGGAAAGTAGTTCAGGCATCTTCATCTTGTACTTTACTTACCTGTTAGGAAAACACCTGCTCAAACTAGGGGACATGCAGTTAAGATTAAAAAGCGTCAAGCTGGATCTTTTTTCTCCCAGAGGGGTGTGAGTGTAAGTTTTGTCTGTGGAGAAAGGAGACCAAGTCTGAACATATAAACAGATTCCCATTAGGAACAATACTACTCTTTAGTAAGAAACTAATTTAAGAAAAATACTGCAAAGATTATATAAAGTAAAATATACCAGAGTGAACTCGAAATAGTTTTATCTTAGAAATCAAATGCGATCCAAAGGTCACACATACACACACAATTGAATGAATTACTCATATTTTCTTTACAAATGTGATATTTCAAATTGATGTTATTTAATACTTTCATAGACAAGGGTACTCCAGACTGGTAACTGGTATTTTAAAATGGTACAGTACAGTGATGGTAATCTGCACATGGAAGATCACATTTCAGGACTAGTGATCCTGAAATTTAGTGGTAGATTAATATCTTTACAAAATGAAATATTTTAAGTACTCTAGGACTGGATACATTATGTTTACGTTATGCCGAGACGCCATACAGCGTGAAGTCTGGTATATAAATGCAAGTTGTTGGTGTTTAATCTGTTTGTGTTACTTAATCTTTGGTGCCAAACGGTTCTTCCCTTACCAAGAAATTTGAGCCTATGCAGGTGGCGTACAACTCCCAGATTAGCAGTTTGCAACAGAATATATATTGGCTATAAAATGTTGAAGTAACTATTATTCTCACAAATAAACTATTGCATACAGTAAATAACTCATCTCTATTACAAAGCTGTCTATTATAGCACTGCTAGAAATAGAATGGTCATTGTGAATGTATTGCCATTTGTATAAATTATACAATACAAAATTACATTTTTATAATGCCTTTCAAGTCGGGAGGATGTCCCAAGGCGCTGAATCCTAAACATCCACACTCTCGCATTGCAGTGAATTTCATGGTGAACTATTTACTTTTTTGTAACCAGTATGAATGTATTTGCGAATTTCATGAGTCATTGTGTCCTGCTCCTATTTACTATTTGGCACTTCTGCTACAGCACACGTGTGAACAGAATGGAACATTGTTATGAGCCTTCTGCCTTACCAGCCCTGATTCCAGATTCACGTGAAAAATAGTCCCTTATTTGATCTACTGGAGGATCGTGCCCTGCACGACTGTTCACATGAATGAGTCCTGAAAGAAATGATCAGAAAAGAAAAATAATTTTCAGGCCATTCCAGATCAGTTAAATAGTTGCTTTACTCATGGCCAGGGAAACAGAAGTTGAAAAAAAAGGTTGACTAGGGAAACTATACTGTCCATTGCACATTTCAGAGTTTAATTTACACTCTTGCAGAACCAAAACATATACATAAACTTGCTTATTAGGAAATCCCATTGTAAGTGTGGAATGCAAAGTGTTGACATGGTGTGCTAAGCACATTTGAGTGTGAGATCGTTTATATTGCACATTATAATGCTTCACAGAATAGCATCCCAGGGTAGAATTTGAGAAGTAAATGTGCTGTGAAATAATTCATTATCTCACTTATCCACCTACTGTTCCTGCAGAAGGCCAACACCATTAGGTTATTGTATTACTAGTTCTGAATGTGTTCCCAGGTCTAATAATGTGTGTTTGTACCTTTTTTACTGTTTGTATTTCTTACAGTACAATTGTTAAAAGTGCAGCATTTCAATCTATGATTACATTTCTGCTTTACAGATGTTACCAAGTTTTGATTTAATTAAAATATGTATTGTGTAACGTTTCTGCAAACTCTGCTTTTTCATGGTGCAGAGAGAAATCTCCTTTTCTTTTGATTTCCTGTGAAATTAAATGGGAGCTCAGAAAGCAGATGGATCTGTGGGTGAAGCAGAGATTTAAATATTAAAATGTGTGGAAACTGAGCGGTGAGTAGGATTATGCTGTCCGATGTGGAAAAGAGAGTCAGCGCGGATTTGATGGACCGATTGGTCTGTTTCTGCTATTACATTTATTAATTTATGGCTTCCACATACCCCAACGTCAAACATTTCTGAAACACAATGAAGAATCACAAGAAAAGGTTATACGCAATGTACGGCAATGATGGAGCCAAACATGTCCAGATGTAGAAATCCATGATGTCTGGATTATAAACCACAAGGATCTGACCCCTGACCCCCGAATGCAATGTCTATAAAGACCCTCAGACGCTGCTGTTTGTGATAATAATAATTCTTGCATTTGGTATCAGTTTTTGTCACCGAGAAACATTGTAAAGGCCCCTCAGGCCCTCGGCCCCACCATCGCTCGTGTCGGCAGCGACTGCAGCTCCCGCCCCCCCGCGGGGCCTACGGTCACCTCAGTCCGACTGCGCTGAGACGCTGCCCCGCGCGGGGGCGCTGTGTAAGTGCGGGCGGCGGCGGCGGAAGTTGTTAATCCTGTCCGGAAGCTGATGGAGCTACGCATGCGCAAACGCAACCGCAGGCAAGGAAGCGCCGCCCGCGCACTCGAGGGAACGCGCTCACGTTTGCACATGCGCATCAGCAGCTCGGCTCTGCACATGCGCATCTGGAAGCCCCTCGCGAGCGATCAGCGTTCGCTTGGCGCGTGCGCAGAGCGGAGTGTCGGTTGGCGGTTGTGGATCCGCGGCGCTGAGCGGAGCCGAGTCCGGGCGTCACCGGGTCCCTGACAGTCACCGGCGGAGGGGAGGAGCCGCGGCCTGAGCAGCGCTGGGGGCCCCGGCCCCAACAACCCCAGCCACAATGGCGGCGGCGGCGGCTCGGGACAGTCTGGGCTGAGGGCCCGGGAGAGCAGGGCCCGCGGGGCCGGGAGCAGCCGGAGCCGCAAACACCTCACGGGCAGGTGCCGCCCCGGGACAGGTACACGTGACACCGCGAGCAGCGCCGGCCCCGCCCCCGCCCCCGGCTACTGAGCGGCCATTGTCGGGGGGGGCGGGAATCTTCGTCATCATCCCTGTCCTGGCGAGTGTTCCTGCCGCTGCCGTGTCTCAAAGCGCTTCACAGGATTCACTGTAAACAACGACTCTACAGTGGCGGAGCCTGACTCCGGGGCGGGGGGGGGGCAGGAATCACGGTGGAAGAGGAAGGTCTTAGGGCATTATCTAAAAAGAGGGTCAGGAGGGGGCGAGGTGCAGGGACTGGGGGTGAGAGTGCCAAAGTTGGATTGATTTTGTTATTTTATGGGGCGAAACACAACAGCCCTTTGCGCACAGCAGTTTCCCACAAACAGCCATGGATTTGAGTGACCACATTATTTTTGACATCAAGAGGATATTTCAGACCCGAGCTGGGGGTCAGGATCAGGAAGGGTGGAGGGCACGGGGGAAGGACAGTGATTGAAGGCGCAGTCAAAGACGTGGGGCTGAGACGGGTCTTGAAGGAGGCAAGGGAGGGGGCGAGGCTGAGGGACTGCAGGATGGTGTTCCAGAAGGTGGGGGCAGATTAGCTGAAGGCCCGTCCAACAATGGTGGTAGGGGGGAGCAAGACCATGGAGGACTTTGAAGTGAGGACCAGGATCTTGAACTGTATCCTCCGTGTGATGGGAGCCAGTGGAGTCGGGTGAGGATGGGGGTGATAGGGTCGCGATACCTGGTCCGGGTGAGGATATGGGCTGCAGAGTTTTGGATGATCTGCAGCCTGTGGAGGGAGGAGTTGGGGAGGCCGACAAGCAGTTGCGTGTTGGATATTAGGGGGCAGGGGTATAACAGCCTGAAAGGAGCCAATGTGTGACTGCCTGAAGGGGGAGGTCTGTTACATTAATACACTATCAATAGTGATAAAGGAGGAAATATGACAGGCAAGCTGCACCAGCAATATTCCCAAAACAATTAATTCAAATTTGTTTTGATTACTGTGGGTTAGGAAAGCTTTGGAAATGCTGCCCCAAAACTTTGGAACTCTCTCCCTCAATCCCTCCACCTTGCTCCCTCCTTCCCCTCTTTCAGATTACGATTGAAGACCTTCCCCTTCAATCATGCTTACAGGCACTTACTCCCTCCCCTGGCTCAGTGTCACTTAAGCGCTCTGAGACATTGCCCCTTGTGAAGGGGCTATATATATACATGTTGAAGGAAGGAATATTGGCCAGGACAGGGGACATGAATTTAAAATAATTGGCAAAAGGACCAGAGAGGAGATGAGAATTTATTTTTGCACAGAGAGTTGTTTCTGGCTGGAATGCACTGCTGAAAGGGTGGTGGAAACAGATTCAATAACAACTTTCAAAAGGGAATTGGACAGGTATTGAAAAGAAAAAATTTGCAAGGATATGGGGAACGTGCAGAGGAGTGGGATTGATTCGGTAGCTCTTCCAAAGAGCCACCACAGGCACAATGGGCCGAATGGCCTCTTTCTGTGCTATCATATTCAATGATTCTGTGACGGAGGACATTAAACCTATTCTGCTGTGTAGGGGGTATCTGGATTTGAACCAGTGACCTCTTGATTTCCACCTCATCCCTGGTATCATCCTAGTATACCTCCTCTGAAACCTTTCCCTGGCTCTGACATCATTCCTAAAGTGGATGGTCCAAAACCGGATGTAACACGAAGCAGAGACACTTTGGAGAGATACCAAAGACCTGCTAACAATCATACAACAGTATTTAATCTAAAGAGGCTCAGGCCAAGATCAAAATCCAGGAATTGTTCCTAGGAATGTTGAGGACCAGAAAAGAAAACTGTAATACATCTGGCTGGAAAATTGTTTGGAGGGTCAAATAATAGAGATGAGGGAATTGAATATTCTGGGATTTTTGGTTTATAAGATTGGATTCAAGGTGTAACCTCTGCAATATTTTTCAGAGATGATAGCGGGTAGGTAATATCCATGATGGGTAAGTGTTTTGTGACTGGAAGCAGTCGGATTGAAGTCAAATCACCTTTATTGCTGATGTAATTTGGATTGATAAACTTGCCAAAACACATCATCTCCATTTAGCTCTTTTGGGGGTTATCTCTGCTTGCATGTATGAATTGCCATATCTTCTTTATTAATAAATTGAAACCAACTGTTATTAAAATGTGTGATTACTGAACTTTTAAAAGTGTATTGCCTATTTTACAGTTTCTGTAAAGACTTACTGAACAGAGGAAGTTCTTTGCAGACTTTAACTGAGTTTGCAATGCTTGCTACAAATATGGGTAAGTGTTAATTCTCCACTGGGCTGTTTGGGTTAACCCCATTCAGCATTTTGGCTCTTTGAAATGTGTCTCTTTCCAACTGATAGACTATTGAAAGGGTTATGGTTAGGCAGCTGTTGTATATAATTTGCTGATGATACCAAGTTAGGGGGAGGAGATGGCAAATTATGATGCAGTTAAGCCTGTAGGAAATGAACAGTCTAGCTAAGAGTGCGTGAAGGTGAGAGGCAAGGTTCAATGTCTACAAACAGCCATGAAGTCAATGACCAATATTATTTGGGGGATTGATGGCCAGGACACCAGAAGAAACTCCCTTCTCTTTTCGAATAGTGCCGTGGGTTTTTAATATCCACGTGACAAGGTAGACGGGCCCTACCAACAACTTGCATTTATATGGTACTCTTCACACAAGGTAGTGTCTCGGAGTGCTTAATAGTGGCGGAGCCTGACACTGAGTCAGGGCGAGGGAAGAGGTGACTGTAGTATGATCGAAGAGGAAGGTCTTCAGATATGATCTGGAAAAAGAGAAGGATGGGGCAAACTTGACAGATTGAGGGAGAGAGCTCCCAAGTTTCAGGGCATAGAGGCTGTAAGCACGGCCACCAATAGTGGAGCAGTGGGGTCGAGGGACAGGGAGGAGGCCGGAGTCAGCAGGTGATAGAATGGGGTGTATGCAGGTCAGAGCTTCTCTAAACCATGATTGTGTAGCGACTGTAAAACTGCTTTTTTAAAAAAATGTATATAATATATAAATTTGTATTTAAATATATTATGCCGATGACACACAAATCTACTTTGCCTCATCCAGCATCGACTCCAGGTCCACCGATGTTCTACCAGTTTGTCTGGCAGTCATCAGGGCCTGGATGAGTGTAAACTTCCTGCAACTGAATGTGGACAATGGAAATCATACCCTTATGGCTCCCATCAAAGTCTTCACTCCTGCGGATCCCAACTCCTCATCCTCCCTGGGCTCTCGCTCAGATTCACCAAACCAATGCGCAATCTAGGCGTCCAGTTCGACCCCCAGCTGTCCTTCCTCCCCCACCTGGTCCCTGACCAAGACCGCTTTCCTCCACCACCACCACATTGCCTACCTCCGACCGTACCTTACCCCAAATGCAGCCGAAACCCTCGTGCATGTGTTTGTCACCTCCCGCCTGGGTTACTCCAACGCACTCCGCACTCCAGCTCCACTATTCAAAAATCCAGCTCATTCAGAACTCCGCTGCCCATGTACTTACCCGGACCAAATTCACCAGTTCCAGCCCAGGCTCCACTGGCTCCCCATCACCGAATGGATCAACTTCCAAGATCCTCACACTCGTGTTCCAATCCATTCACTCCCTTGCTCCTCCCTATCTCTCTGACCTCCTCACTGCCCAATCCACCACCTGGTACCTCCGCTCAATTGGCACCGGCCTCTTACTTGTCCGCGTTGCACCCTCCACTCCAACATTGGAGATTGGGCTTTCAGCCACTATGCTCCAAGACTGTGGAACACTCTCTCAATCCCTCCACTTTGCCCCCTCTCTCCCCTTTCTCAAGTCCTGCCTGAAAACCTTTCAACTGTGCTTACGGTCACCTCCCCACCCCGGCTCGGAGTCAGGCTCCACTACTGTTAAGTGCTCTGAAACGCTACTCTACATGGAGAGCGCTATATAAGTGCAACTTGGTGTTGTATATATTGATTTATATACTTAGGCACATTTGTTTGTTCTGCTAAATTTATATTTGTGTATAAATTATGAAAGTACGTTGTACCCCAGACAGAGTGCAACAGTTGTTTTACAAAGTTGTATTCACAGTTTGTACTCTGATTTTTCTTATATTTTTCTTATATTTCTTATAAATATTTTCTTATTCTTTTAGATGAACAGGAGGCTCTAAAGTCCATTATGAAGGATCTGGTTGCTTTGCAGATGGGCCGAAGGAATCGAACAAGTGGTTATGATAGCGTGAAAAGCAAAGCCAGCATCCACAGCAATAAACGGGTAAGAGGAGGCAATAAAGTGGCCTACTTTGTATTCTAGATTGACATGACTTCAAAAAGCAGTCTTATTAGAATCTGCATTAATGCAAAACTATTATTTTGTTGCAGAATGACATTCGAATAAAGTTTGAACATAGTGGTGAAAGAAGGTACGTAAATTTCTCGCAATGTCAATTTTAGATGCTACCAATGTGTTAAGAGCCTCAACAATAATTCTCTTTATGTACATATTTAATGCAAATAACAATATATAAAACTCAGGCTCGACTCCAGTTAGTTCATGAGGTGAGCCACATACACTAGCACCAGTACAACTGTTTACCCCAATGGACTCAAACAATAATAACTTGTATTTGTACAGCACCTTCACACAAGTAATGTCTTGGAGCACTTAACAACAACTTACACTTATATAGCGCCCTCCACGCAGGGTAGCGTCTCGGAGTGCTTAAATGGGATATCAATTTAATGACTGAGCTGAGGATGAGGAACGTAGGAACAGGAGTTCAAAATGTATAAATTATTCAAAGACTGGTATTCCAGTGCTGTGCCTAATCATCCTTTATAATTCAATAGGAACATTTTGTACAATGAAAAGAATGTGTGAGTTTTGCTATCTGAAAAGCTGTAAGACAGCAACACTGATTAAAGTCTTTTAAAAGTAATAAATTATATGGTGACTCCTTTACTCTGATCAACTGAATAGAGCTTGTATATGTTGAGATACTGTAGTAGATAATCCTGATTGTGATACGTTTGGAAAGGGCATTGTGGTTTGTTTCATGTTGCCAGTATTTAACCTCAGAAATGTAAGGTGGATGGAAGGAATTGGGCCGAGAACAGAATAAAAACAAAATGAATTTTAAAACAAAGAACAGCATTGATCAGCAGAGGGCCCCACATAGGGCTTCCGAGTTTGTGTGAAGCATGCCCTACTGAAAGGCCCCGATTGAGACTTTGTGTACAATTATAGACTGTTAAATAACTAGATCAGTTAATCAATCTCTACAAAGCAACACGTGTTGCAAAGGAATTACAAGAAAAAAAATGCAAGAATAGTTTCTGAGTTGTTTCACTCACACATGTGCACACTTATTTAAAATTATTTGCATCTTTTCCTTCCTGTGCCGGCCGGTGTTTGATGCCATGCATGAAAGAGGATTGAAACCCAGTCCTGCAAACCAGTTACATTTTATTGTCATGAAACTCCACATACTAAATGAGGATTTCTGTATTCAAAACAATCAGCTGAAGGTCGTATCATAGGAATCTCTATATTCAATGTTGTTCTATACTGAGGCTTTACATGCCATTAAGGGCACCTAGTTAATGTTTCTCGCACTGAATGTTGAACAACATGATGTTTTTTGTTCCATGTCAGAATAATACAGTTCAGCCGTCCAGTCAAATATGAAGAACTGCACCAGAAAGTCAAGACAGCGTTTGGGCAGCAAATGGATTTAAACTACACAAATAATGAGGTAATCAGCTTTATTTGGTTCTGCAATTTTCCACACAATTGCCATGATTGCATAAAAAATATTGTGCGTGATTACGTGTCCTCAGCTTAAAGGTGTGCATTTATCTAGTTATTGTATCCTCAAGCAAGGTTGCAGTGAATCTGACATTATATCTCATGGATGTGCTTTAATCTTCTGTTTAAGAGCCTGCCACAGTAACAGCAAGTGTTGCAACCACAGTGTTGAACTGGGCTCTTTGAGATTCCATTATCCCAGTAGATAATTATTTGGGGAGGACAAGTTAGCATGGCTGTGGGGAGAGGACGGGGGAGTGGGATTGATTTGGATAGCTGTTTTCAAAGAGCCGGCAGAGGCACGATGGGCCGAATGGCGTCCTTCTGTGCTGTATGATTCTATGAACACTTACTCTTGGATTAAATCTTGTTCATCGTTAAATGCTGAATTTTCCCCACTTGTGGTCACTGTGGCATTTACACATATTAACGTATTTGGTTTAGTATTTGCTTCCGAAGTTGCATTTATATAGCAACTTTCATATAAAATATTACAAATTGCTTGTCGAATTTAATGGTACATACCAAGTGGAGAAATAAGAGCTTTTAAATTTGTTGATATGATTTTAGGAGTTTTTAGAAGGCAGGAAAGAGATAGCAGCAAAGTGGTTTGGAAGAGAGTTCTAGAGACAAAGACATAATGAATTGAGGAGCAAGCAATAAACCTGAGTTGGATGTGTGGAGAATATGGACTGAAATGTAGCCTTAAAGAAGATGGCGCTGATTGTCATGCTCCTTGACAACTGGTCACCTTCCCTCACAGCTTCTCTTTCTAGCTCCCTTACACACTCTTTCCATCTGTTGCATTCTCTTTCTCTCTTACGCTCACAATTTCTTTCTCTCTGTGCACTCTCCCTCATAATCTGTTTCCTGCTCTCAAACTTGCCTATTTCTTGATTTCTTCATGTTTGTACACAATTGATTGCTTTGATTGTCTCCTCTCTTTCTCCCAGTTATTAATTCCTTTAAGATCACAGGATGACCTTGACAAAGCTGTTGACCTTCTTGATCGAAGCTTTAACATGAAGAGTCTGAAAATTTTGCTTGTTGCTCAGGATAGAAATCAAGTAAGTGTTAACATTCCTCAGCCCCTAAGGTGAACAGTTTGTCTTTAGAGTGCTTGACTCCTAAAATAAAATTAGGAAACCATTGCAGGTGCCAAGCTACATGGAATGTGCTGGAGTAATACAGAACACATTTTATTTTCACAAAGCACATCTTTTTATAAGTCTCATTAACCCATCTTAGCTTGGTGTGATAAATGTCCACTATATATCTCTTTGTGCTTCATTATGGGGATGGGGGAGAGAGAAGATGTGAATGTTGTACACTGGCAGAACTAACCCACAGCTGCTTTCTCAGGAGGTGATGTGGAAAAATCTTTCCAGCTGGTACCTGCTTTTACTCCCATTTATTCATTAAATGAATACAGAGCCCTTTGAATTAATGAGAAAACATTGAGATGTTCTGGTTATATATGCTTGTCTTTCCCTTTTCACAAGTTATTTAAGGAAAAGCAAAATTCTGTGACCCCCATGTTTGCACTAGCTGGAGTTGCTACCAGAATATAGCACCATCTGTGGCCAGTCACTATCTCCTCTTGTCAATGGTGCTTTGAAATTGGCTACTAGTAAATGTACTATTCCAGAGTATGATTTGCCTGCAATTTGTGCTCCTACTTCTCCTCGAGCTCTCTTGTTTATTCTCTTTGACCGTGCCTTTAGCTCCCCTCTCGAATCTCTACCCCCTCCTCGCTCCCTCCATTCCCTCTCCTCACCCTAACCATTTCCCCCTTGCTCGGGTCCTGACCCAACTGTACAGCGCCTTGGGACGTCCTCCCGATGTGAAAGGCGCTCAATAAATGGAATCTTGTTGTTGTAGTTCTGATCAAGATATTAAATTGTTGGGTGTTCCCTTAGTTGACTAGAATTCCTGAACACTGGACACCTGTATATCTAATTTCTTCTTTTTACTCCTAGACATTGCCTGTCTCTTCAGCAACTGTTCCAAAGCAGGTCCGCATTAAGGCTTCCCAGTCAGTTGGAGACATTCTCAGCACTGTCTACCAGCCAGCAGAGTCACGAGGAAGACACCTCTCGGTCGGTAAGTACCAGTTTTAAACTGAATGTAAATTGAAGCCGTAACTTACTGTTGATCAGACATTTGGGAATACAGTGTTGTGTCCAGGATACTGGACTAATTGAACAAACTCCTCCTGATGCTGTAATTGGAAGACTGTAGAGTGAACATTCGGAAAGGATGAGATCAAATGGATATGTGGCTGTTCTTCCAAGCCTCTTGTGTCCTGAAAATAAACCAGCTACTTGAGTTTTGATTCCGTTTTTTGTCTTGGCATTGACGGGGAAAAATTGTGATCGTACCTTTTAGTGTAAAAGGGATTGCTGAGGGTTTACCATTCAAACCTAATGTTTACTGCAGTTCACGGAGCTCAGCATTTTGCTTGACCTAATCTTTTAATCTTAGTAGATAAAGTCTACTTACCAAGTTGAATGTGATCCCCTACCTGACCCCCAGTGCAACCGAAATCCAAATTCTTCATTACTCCACACTTGTCTTCTCCAATGCCCTGTGTACCAGATTCCGAGCCACTCTCTGAAACCCTCTCCCTAAATCCTTCGGCCTAACTTCCTTTCTCTTTGCTTTCAAAGCCCATCATAAAATCTATTATTTGACTGTTCCTTCACCTACCTTCTGCCTTTCCATCTGGCTTAGGCTTGCCACTCTGTCTCTGCTAGGCCCTTAGGGATGTTCTACTCCATGAAAGACGCTATAACGTGCAATTTGTTATTTAGTGACTTTATTTAAAGAACATAAATTTAAGCAATTATGCAGGTGTTTCATACAGTGCTCAAAAATTGTCCCAATCACCAGGGAGAGTCTGTCTGTGGTCATTATCGTTTAAATTTGGGCATTATCAGGGCAAAGTAGTTCTGATTCTGGGAAAGGTATGAACTGGTTTGAGCAAAATGCCTCTCAATAGGAATGTACTTGTAGCCTTCAGGAAGAGTACTGAGGAAGGTTAATTCTTTTCATTGTGTATATTTAATGTTATTGGATCCAGAAATGAGGATGGAACGTTGTGCAAAGTGATCAGTAATACAATGGAGCAATTATAGCAGTACCAAGGTGCTGTGTGGCTTAATTAAAAACTGTTAGTCCAAAAGCTGCACTCTAAGCATTTGTGTTACTGTGCACAGGACATTTGCTGCCACTTGAAGTGATTGAACCATACGCACAAACCCTGCAGTGTAGTCGGCCCTCTAGCGGGTGCTCAGCTATTGACGACAATTAAATGCCAGTGTTTAATGAGTCTCTGTGCATATTTATGCTCACAGTGGTGAGCTGGCTTGCATTTATGTTTATGCTGATAGATAACATTTGAGCAGGATGATAGTACTGAGCTCAATGCCTTGTTTTTCCTTCCACTTCCTGTGATATCCACACAACTTCCTCTTCCTACTAACAAGATATTGTTTTCACAATAGTGTTTGGAGACCTGCCAATCAGATAGAACAACTGCAACTGCTTTTAGTACTGAGCAAGTATAGGAATGCTGAGAAAGTGAAAGTTAGGGTGGTGGGAAAGAGATTCTAGGCTTTAATTTAATTATATTGCACATTTTCAACTTTCTATTTACTGATATTTATCCATAAATAAATGAGAATTTAAGATCAAACTTTTGGATTCTTGAATGGTGTGCATTCTTCAACCGCAATGTTTTCTCGTATCAAATTGAAAATGTGCAATAATTGCACTGACAAACTAAGAAGTAAAACTGCAGATTTAAATCAATTCAATCTTGAAAAAAATCTTGATGCTTTATTGATCCAAGGAAAATAATTTATTCTTATTGCCTTTTATGATCAATTCCTCTGTAGTTAAAATGACACCACAAACCATTCTCTCAATTTGTGAAAGCAAAACATTATTAACTGTTTTCTTAAATGCAGGTCTGGATTAGAAATGTTAACGTGTGGTTATCTGTGGACACCTGATATAATCGATATCACTGAATAGGATTTTCATCTCATCAAAAGAATGAAATAGAAGAGGTGGTTCTCTGGGGCGGCTACTGAGGTTTTGAGATGTGCATGTGGGACATTGTGCAAAGCTGCTATGTTCACCTACAAATACATTCACTGCACTTTGCAGAAAATTCTTTAAGATGTTTTACCATGACAAGGCGCTACATCAAATGCAAGGATTATTATCATTATTATTATTATTATTATCTTCCACTTAAGCCAGTTGCTGCACGTCTGAACCTTCTAGGACTGAAGACTTGCAACACGACTGGCTGTGTATTGGCAGACCTCATGGAACATGTACCTGTCCACAGCTGTAGTACTCCAGGATTTAGGACAATTTTGAAGCATGTCAGATTTCCTTGTGTGAATATGTCTGCTCTCACCTACATCCCTAAATCCAACAAATTATCGCTAATCTCTAAAATATTTTGTGTGCAGGCTCCCAGAACACAGGTCGAAGCTCCCCACCCCCGGGATATGTTCCAGAGAGACAGCAAAGGATAGCACGACAGGGATCTTACACCAGTATTCACAGTGAGGGGGAGTTCATCCCTGAGAGTATGGAACAATGTGTGAGTAAATAGTTGGACCTACCATACAATCTGCACAAAGTAAATGAGCAACAAAATCTTCCTGCTCTGACTATCCTAATTTCCAGTCAATTACTAAAGACTGATGTGAATGTATCCCTTTCCCCAACCTCAGTACAGTGGTTGGGTACAAACACAGTAAACATTTCAACTGCTTCATTGTTGTGGAGTGAGTTTTCTTCAATATTTTCTTTACATCTTTTCTTGAGGTTCCCTTTCAATGGTAACTTCTAGTTCTTATCCCTCCTTTCTGTTTTGAGCTGCAGCAATAAGTTCAAAGGCTGCTGAGTCAGCCTATTGACCCTGCAATTGGGATTACTAGATAAATAAATTTATTCTCTTTTTTGATCAGCCATGTCTAACACATGCAGAAATCAATCACCGTGCTTACGAGTATCCAAACCAAGCAGAGTTCCATGCATGCCACCTGCCCATTTAAATTCCTGTGTTTGTAATGTGCACTCTCTTCCCTAAGGAACGCAACCTAATTCTGGATAGTATTAGGTGCAGGTTAGCAGGGTTTAGGATACTGCTGGAGTTATCAAATAATGGTGTAAATTGTTTTGTGCAGATATATGAACCGCAGAGCAGTGTTGACAATTCCATATCTGGCAGCTGTCAATCCCTGGATAGGAGAGCAGAGAGGTGAGTGATGAGAGCACTGCTGCAGTGCTCCCTGAAACACAAGATCTCGATCATAATCTGACAGATTTGCCTCTAATTTTGTATCTTTTTGTTCCAGTTTTGATTGTTCCACTCTCCCCTCAACCAAATGACACTCATTACCTAAACCGGGTGTCTCGCAAACTGGCTATGATGTGGATTGGTTCACCTGTTTCCTTCTCTGCCAGTAGCGAAGTATCTGCACTATCTCTGATGCTGAGACCAGCAATTTATAGAATTGTAGCAAATTCTAAATTGAAGAAAGGCAAAGTGTCAAAACTAATGGCCTATTAAATCTTAATATCCACCAGATGCAGCAAACTGACTATATTGTAACCGTACTAAACCATGCAGCTGCTGAAGGTAGTGTTTGGAGAGGTATCTTTAGAAAAATATGTGTCAAAAGTCCCTGAGTTTTTAATGCCAGACAACTTAGTTGCAGATTGTGGCTTTGCGGTGACAACTAGTCAACTAAATACAGAATTCTACTTTGTGAGTTTGGGATCAGTGAAATCCCATTCCACATTGTAGCAAACGTAGTGTTGACTGTGCATGTATACAGCCAGTGTGCACCCCTTGCACAAGCTGCTTCCTGTGCTAAGAAGAAAGACCGGCTTTCAAATTGTTTATTGGGTCACTGCCAACGTCATTTCCTGTTTCTTGCACATTTGCAAAGCAGGAAGTGTTATTGGCGGCGACCTGATGACCCGCAAATCGTCCATTTTTTTAATCCAAGAAGCTAAAATGGCTGACTTTCAGATCAATAGGATGCGAGCTGTGTTGATATGCGGGAAATGGGTCCAAAGTGCATCCAAGTTAAATCGATTTTGTGCGATACTGAAACTTATCTGTAACGGGACTGTGCCATGAACATGTTCTGAAGTATATTACCTGAGTATGGCGCTGCTATGAGTTCATCTACACTGCCACAGAGTTCAAAGTTCACCAGCGAGCGTGAAATTTCAGGGGCAATCCTCCAACTCGCCCCATCCCCCGCCTCCTTCAAGGCCTTTCTTGAGCAGTCTGTTATACCAGAGGGAGCAGTGTTTTGGAGACAGCCTGGATTTCAGTTTCTTCCTCCCCTCCATTATTTAATCAAAAGGTTTATTTGCCTCTCCCTGCTTTATACATTTTGAGCAGAAAATAATTAATAATCCTTACATTTCATATCGCACCTTTAATGCTGAGAGAACGCTTCTAAGCGCTTCCCAGGATATACCTGTAAAGTGTAGTGATTGTGTATTTTGTGGGCTAATGTGATGATTAATGGTGATTAATGTTACCAATATACATTTTGTTTTCAGCCCATCATATCGGAAATCTCGTATGTCTAGAGCACAGAGTTATCCTGACAACAGGCAGGTTTACTCAGGTAGGTTTGGACTTAGTTTGCCCTTGTCTAATTAATGATTTTTACAGGTTAAACATCAGTACTTTGGCTTTATATCGTCTGAACATATTTATAAAACCTTTGTCCTCCTACCTTCCTAGATTAATTTACATTAACCCCTGAGTATATTTGCTATTCTGCTTTTAAAATCGTATCATTTAACATGTACTTGCTCTCCTTATTCTTCCTCTCAGAATGTATGACTTCACATCACATTCAATTTCTCTACCCAATTTACTAGTCTGTCTATGACCTCCGGACATTGCTTTAAATCTTCCATGAGCTATACTCCTTAATTTTGTATCATCCCCAAACATAGAAATTGTGCCCCATATTGTAATCCATATCATAAAAAATGAGAAAATCAATGATCCTAACACAGACCCCTGAGGGATCCCACTGTTTATATCATTCTGAATAACTGCCATGCATTTGGTCCCATTTACTATCTTTTAACCAACTTTCTATCCATGCTGGCACCTATTCATTAATACCTACACCTTTTAAGCAAGCGTCTTATGTGACACATTATCAAAATCCATATACACCACAGCAATACCATTAGCTATTATCTTGTTTATTTCACAAAAAAGGCCTCCTTTTAACTTATCCATGCTGGTTGTCTTTAATTAACTTGTGTCTTCCTAAGTGATTTTAATATGAACTTATACTATGGCCTGTAAATGTTTGCACCCAGTGGGTGTTAGGCTGACTGGTTTGTAGTTGCTGGGCTTATCATAGCAGACCTTTTTGAACAGGGGTGTTGAGTTTGCACATTTGAATCGAAGGATATTTGAACATTTTTAGTTATTTAATCTAGTATTTCCCTGACGTCTCTCAGCATTTTCAGATGCATGTCATCAGGCCCTGGTGATTTGTCCACTTTAATGTGGAGTTCCATAATTTTTGTCGTCCCACTTCCTTTTCCATAATTCTCCCTTCTAATTGATGCATAACTGTCTCTTAAATACTCAATTTCTCATTATCTTCTTGTAATCAAAAATCTTGATGACTGAATACAGGTGTATACTGTAACATTAAAGAACTGCTTTGTTTTGGAATTTCTGTTTGACATCTGTTCATCTGTGCATTAAGATTACAATTTTGCTAACAGTTCTTCTGTCTGGTCACAGATCGTGAGAACCATATTTATGATAAGGCTGGAAAAGGAGGGACGTATCCTCGCCAGTATCATGTTTCCCTTCATCAGAAGGATTATGGCGATGGTGAGCATGCGAGTAAGGGATCATGTTGTGTTCATGTGGCACTTTTTTTTAACAAATATAACTCTTTTCTCTCTTTCCCCCACCAGCTGGGTGTCTTGACACCCGTCACCACACTTCAAGAGTATCCAAACCAAATTGAGATCTATATATGTATCCCACATACGCATGGAATTTCCCTGTGCCTGGGATGCACACTCTACCTCGAAGGATGCACCCTGCGTACCTAATTCTGGAGAGTTTTAGGTGCAGGTTGTTTAAAGCCGAGGCATATGCACATATGGTGAATGGGGTCCACGGTGCAAATGCGTTATTACAACCCTGCCGAGTAGGACCAATAGGGGGGGATTTCTGGCTAAGTTAATTATAATGCCGGTTCTTGTAAATCCTGTGAAGTGCTTTGGGATGCCTTGACGTGAAATTAATTATTATTGGGTATCAACTTTTTGCCATAGTTCCAGAATTGACTGAAAACCTGTATTCGCTGCTACACTTGAGTGTGTTCGTTCTTCCAATGAGCCATGTTAAAACAGCAGCATGCATTCTGATAAATGTTCAATTTGCTTTATAGGTCGAAGAACCTTTCCAAGAATACGACGACAACAGGGAAACCTGTTCACACTTGTTCCATCCAGTCGGTCACTAAGTGTGAATGGGGAGAACATGGGTCTGGCTGTGCAGTGGGACAGCAGGAGCAGGATCCGCAGTGGAGACAGTGAGAACACACTCGTGGTGCAAGAAAGGAATGTTCCCATGAAATGTAGGGTAGTTTTCACTTCATTTGTTAAGAGTGTCTACCAGATTGAAACCTGATTTTTATTCTTTTTCATCCCCTTTCCCCAACAGCATTGACCATTATTATAGGCCAAGTATGATCTGCAGAGTATGAAATGCTCACCCTTTCGCTACCCATGACACAATTGCAAACTTCGCTTGTAGTATGGGGGAGGGAGATAATGACCTGTGTGAGGACTCATTTAAGTGAGGACTCATTGTCACTGACCACGTTTCTCATCTGTTGGAAACAGCATCAAGTGGTAGTGAATGTTGTGTTTTTTGTCTTGTGAATGCCAAAACTTGTTTTTTCAAACAAAATGTAATGTTAAAAGTACCAAGTTTTTTTCTAGTAATCTCTTTCATTTATAGCCCCAAGTGCCCCCACCAACTGGAGGAGAGGCAAGCTGCTGGGACAAGGAGCTTTTGGCCGTGTCTACCTCTGTTATGATGTCGATACAGGGAGAGAACTTGCAGCCAAGCAAGTCCAGTTTGATCCGGACAGTCCAGAGACGAGCAAAGTGAGTGTCCACAATCTACAGTTTGTGGTGCTTCTATTTTCACATTGCAGTTAAATAATAATAATTATAATCGTTGCATTTCAGATAGAGCGTTATCACCTGTGAAGCATTTTGAGATATAGTGTCTCAAAGTGCTTCACAGGCTATATTGTGAAGTGGAATGATTGCATTTTGTGGGTGAAACGCGGCAGCCAGTTTGTGCATAGCAATATCCCTAAAACAGCCATAGAGCAAGCAATTTTATTTGTAGGATTTGTTGGCTGGGACATCAGGAGAAACTCTCTTTTCGAATCTGAACAGGCAGACATTGCTCTGTAAGCAATTCCTTCATCTTCCTTCAGAACCACAGTCCTCCGAGATGGACTTAGTCAGGGTTAAACTCTGTTTAACATCTTACCCAAGTTGTTGTGAGAATGTAACTCCCAAAATCAATGCAGAATAATTTGGGATTTTAAAGATGAAATTAGTTGAATAGAACAGTAACTAATTTGCTATATATATGTATGTATATATATATATAGCCCTTTCATGACAGGAGGACTTTCAAGGTGCTGAAATACATCTATGTGTATTATACGAACATATAAGAATTTTTTTTAAAAATAGAAAAATTAGATAAAAATTTCTGGCGGGAGAGGCTGAATGTCCTCCTGCATTTATTATTAAGTTGTTACTGCAATCACTTCTGGGGCATCCTAGCAATGAACAGCTAGCTGCTGATGAATAAACTGTCACCTACTTCTCAGGTAAAGTAATATAGGGTCAAATGGTTACGAGGACAAAGCAGGGGAAAGTCTGGATGAGCTGACCATATACATGGCTATTTGAATGAAATCTGTACTAATAATTGTTTGATACCCAATGGGACACTGGTACATACAGTGCAGCCTTATTACATGCTCTGTGTTAGACACTGGTTCACTTAAAGTCAAGTGTCTTCTAGACTCGCAGCCAACTTCCTGCACATGTCAGGTTGCTCAGGGATCCTCACAATAGTTTAGTTTGGTTGCACATCACAACCATTCACAACAGTAACTAACATGCAGTCCGTGTCATTGTGTATCATGATAATACACAATTTAACCTATGCTAGGCATAGAATAGATGGTGTATTACAAGGCTAACCCCATGGCTTTCTTCACATATATAGAGTTATAGGAAATAATGTTAGTGCTGATCTAATGACAGAGAAGTTGGCCATTTTAAGAGCAGATGATGGACAGGTTTCTGTGCGAGTGAGTATTGACATCATCGATCATGTAAATGGTAACATCCCAATGTGGACTAACTGTTGGTTTATATTTTACTGTATGGCTCATAATTTTGAATTGTGTGAGACAGCTCGCTGGCTGGCAAGGTTCAGAGTACGTGAGCATGACTGTTTCTTAATGCTCCCACTAGGAGGTCAGCGCTTTGGAATGTGAGATCCAATTACTGAAGAACCTCCGCCACCAGCGGATCGTGCAATACTACGGTTCTCTGCGGGAAAAAGCGGAGAGAACTCTTTCAATTTTTATGGAGTATATGCCTGGGGTAAGTGAAGAAATAGTATTTTTTTTTATTATTACATTTCATTGAAATGCAGTTTCAAAGCAGTTGTGGCCCAGATGCTGCTGTGGGATTGACAAATCCTGATACAGGCCGGTATTTGATACAATCTTCATTTCTCTCCTCATTTTCAATGAGTGCACATTCACTTACAGCCACTTTTTCAAGACCAACTGTTTTGCATAAATTACTGAGAAATTAACGAACCTTTCAAAGAACTTGAATGTATTTTAATTGGATCAGCTTTGATGTTTGCTCGTCAGTTTATTAATTGATAAAAATCACATTCCACTTTGCTGCTTTATCTACTGTAAGATTTTAATAATCCAGGATTGCTAGTTTTGTTTGATCTTGTAAGTCTGTTTATGTAACCAAACCCAAGCAAATTCTTAATTACCTTTCCTTGTTTTGTTCTGAAGAAGGCAAGAATAATCCCTTAGGAATTAAAATGAAGAGGTGGGGCTTGTTAGCAACTGTTGGAACTGTTTTCTGTAGGATACTAATTTTGTCCGTTTTAGTACTTAAAAGGGTATGGAGAACTCTTGCTCTTAAGATTTAACAGCTTCCCCATACCTCCTCAACCACTGTGCTGCCTTTGACAATGTCAGCTACTCCAATCTCCTCTTTCATCCACCTCTCTGGCTGTGCACTTTCCTGGTTCAATTCCCATTTTTCCATTAGTCTGCTCCCCTCCCACCTCTGTGCAATCAGCTGCAGCAATTCCCAGTGCTGTATCCTCTCAGTGTTCTATCCTTTCTAAATCTACACCCTACACTTGCTGACGTCCTCTTTGACTGTGTGTAGTGTCACTTCTCATGTTACCCATTCCCCGTTCTTCGCTGCTTGATATCCAACACAGTCTCTAAATTGCTTCAGGATGTTGCTGTATACTAAGTGCACTAAATAAATGCAAATTGGTGCTATTGACTTCACATTATAAAACCACATAATGATGGACATTTTTGTAGAAGAAACTATTATGCAGAGATTTAATACAATACAAATTACATTTGTATAGCGCCTTTCACGTTGGGAGGACATCCCAAGGCGCTGGACAGTCAGGGATTTGGCAGGGAGGGAAGGAGGGTGGCTGAAGAATCAACAACAACAACAAGATTGCATTTATGGAACTCCTTTCACGTCGTGAGGACGTCCCAAGGCGCTGGACAGTTGGGTCGGGACCCGAGCAGGGGGGAAATGGTCAGGGTGAGGGGGGAAATTGTCAGGGTGGGAGGGAGGGAGCGAGGAGGGGGTAGAGAGTCGAGAGGGGAGGTGAAGGCATGGTTGAAGAGAAAGGTCTTGAGACCGGCCTTGAAGGAGGAAAGGGAGGAAGCGGTGAAGGCATTGGGGGATGGAGTTCCAGAGCCTAGGGGCTGAGAGGCTGAAAGTCCGGCCACCGATTGTAGGGCGGTTGGGGCGGGGTGTGTGGAGCAGACCGGAGCCAGAGGAACGGAGGGTACGGGCAGGTAGGTAGGGGGATAGTAGGTCGGAGAGGTAGGAGGGTGCAAGGCCGTGAATGGCCTTGTAGGTGAGGATGAGGATCTTGAATTCGATCCTCTGGGGGATGGGAAGCCAGTGGAAGCGAGCGAGGGTGGGAGTGATGTGGTCGCGAAGCCTGGTGCGGGACAGTACACGAGCTGCAGAGTTCTGAATGACCTGCAGCTTGTGGAGGGAGGTGCCGGGAAGGCCGACGAGGAGAGCGTTCCCGTAGTCCAGCCTTGAGGTGATAAAGGCGTGGACCAGTGTTTCAGGAGTGTGAGGGGTGAGGCAGTGCCGTAGTCTGGCGATGTTCCGGAGGTGGTGGAAAGCAGTGCCAGTTGTGGCGCGGATGTGGGGAAGAAAGGACAGCTCAGGGTCGAACAGAACACCTTCGAACACTCGGTCGAAGAGAAGGATCTTGAGACCCACTTTGAAGGAGGCAAGGGAGGGAGCTGATAGTTAAGAGACTAATTTGGATGTTGTAATCGACCAGAGTAAAGTAATGCCACTTCAGTTTTCCTATCCCTTATGGTGGATTAAACTCACTGAGAATTGTTTATTTTTTAAATCTTTCCTCCTTTTTTGATCTTTGCCATTATGTTTAATCTACTGATGTTTATCTTCTGTTATTATCACCAGCTTTTGTTGTGTGACACTTTGTTCTGTGCAGCATGCAATGTTATAGGTAACTAATTGTTGGATGATGGAAGAGGAGCTTAGGAAATAGAAATAGAACCAGGTGAATTTTCAACACAGAAAGAAACCATTCAGCCCATTGCATCCGTGTTAATTCCAGATCTTTCCAATATCCCTAATGTTTTTTGCTTCTGAACCTGTATCCAATTCGAACCATGTCTCTCTCTTTTCCCCCCCTCCCACCCCCAACCAATGGTGAGAAAATTGGCAGTTTAAGACCTACCTAAAGGCCATCTTTCTTTCCTCTCCCAACTTGGGCTCCAGGTTAGCTGTGGGAAACCTTTGAGATGTTTTCCCAACATCATCGCCCTGTATACCCAGCGCCTTGGGATGTCTATATACCCAGCACTCTGGGACGTAAAATTCTACAGTTTCTTAGTCCTGTTCAAGCAATCTCCATTTTCTACTTTCACTATTGACAATATTGTATTCTTTTCAGGGTTCAGTGAAAGACCAGTTGAAAGCATATGGAGCACTGACTGAGAACGTGACTCGGAAATATACTCGACAGATTTTGGAGGGCGTTTGCTACCTTCACAGTAACATGATCGTGCATCGGGATATAAAGGGTGAGTGGAATGTGGCTGCATCTTTCAAACACAGAAGTGCATTGTCTCTGTTTTATTCGAACAGTTATAATTCTGTGTTACATCAAATGGATATTATGTCTTCATTCATCCTGTATTCCCATTGGCATTTTTTTCGTGAAGAAAAAATTTTCTTGACAAGTATGGCCTCATGGAACCAGACAGGAAAAGATATTGCTAATCATTAAGCAAACAAATTTAGCAATAACCTTCCTTTCTCCTTCTTCATCTGTCTTTAAATCTTGATTTAAAAATCGACCTCTTCCTTTCCTTCCCCCACCCCCTTACTCGTCATCCAACTCAGTCATTGTAAAGCGTTCCAAGGCCTGTACTCAAGGAAAGGGTGTGATATAAGTTGAGTTTGAGGTCCCTATCCCTTTAAAATGTTCTTTTTGATTGCAGGAGCCAATATATTGCGTGACTCAGTAGGGAATGTGAAACTAGGTGACTTTGGGGCAAGCAAACGTTTGCAAACAATATGCATGTCAGGAACAGGAATCCGATCAGTCACTGGGACACCTTACTGGATGAGCCCGGAGGTAATCAGTGGCGAAGGTTATGGGAGGAAGGCAGATGTTTGGTAAGAACACAAGTAATTGCTTCAATGTATTTGAACAAAATGCAGTAATTCTAGCCCTGCCTCAACTTGCTTCATGCTTATTAAACATAACATTTTCTTCACTTTTATACACCGAGTTTAAGTGTTGTGGCCCATTTGTCTATTTTTTCATGTTGTGTTTGCTCCTCCAAAGAGCTTTCTATCCTAATCCCAATATCCCGTTGCTTCCCCACAGTCTCTGATCCCCTCAGCAGGTGGGCGTTTGATGCTTTTTTGAATGCTCTAATTGACTCTGCTCTAACAGCATCACATGTACACCATCTGAGAAATGATGATCTTCAAAGTCAATCCTTTTACTTCCATTGCCACAAACCTAAATTATTGTCTCTTCTTGAATCTCATACCAGTGTAAAGAATTTTCACAATAATTCTCTGAAACCCTTTCGTCTTAAACACCTTATAATATTACCCCTCTACCTTCTCTGATCCAACTTGTTCAAAATTTGGATAAAAGAAAAGCTGTGGATGTTGAATGTATGGACTTCTTTTTGTGAACATAGAGTTTCTAATTATTTTGTTATTTTTTCCCTATTAGAGTACGTATGCCACCTACTTCGGCCCCCAGCCTTCTCTTGCTAGGGTTTAGCTGCTCACATGCTCTTTGTTCATGTGTCAGCCTTGGCAGTGAGTGTTGGTAGACCACTCAACTGTAGAGAACATTGCAACTGAGTCTGATCTTTTCCCACTCAGTTGCCACACACACAGTAGAAAATGTGCTGAATTGGGATCAACAGCAGTAACATTGGCCTTGGTCACCCTCCTACCCCTGCCCTCCACCCCTCTTGATCCCAACCTCCAGCTCGGGTCCAAATCTTTGACTGTCCAGTGTATTGGGACAGCCTCCCGACATAAATGACACTAGACAAATGTAATTGGTTGTTGTTATTTTCCCCTCCCTAACGTGGGAAGGCCGTGCTCATTTAGCCTCCATGCAACCTCGGCTGAGACCAACAAATGGCTTTTAAACTAAGATCTTCCTTCCGGAAGCTGAAAATGTATTCACTGCACCATTGGAGCTGACAAATCTGTGACTTTTGAAGAACATTTAATATGGTGCCACCTAAGAGACTAAGGGACCATGGTATTAAATACCAAGTGGCAATTTGGACAGGGATCTATGTCCCCAAGGATAACTAAGGTCCTGGGATCTCTGTGTTTGTCTATGTGCATTACAGGGGGACATAAAAAGGTAAGGGATCTGGGAAAATAAGTTAAACAAAATAAATGTGTATTAGAACATTTTTGGTGATATAAATGTGAAAGTAGACCCTAAATAAAGTCAGCAATGACAGCTTGCATTTATATTGTGATCTTCACATGGGGTGGCATCTTGGAGCGCTTAAGACTCCAGGTGTAGAGCGACAGAAAAAGCTGGAGGCACATGTTTAAAAGCACTTTGTATCTAAATACAGGAGCATTGAATGAAAAGTAATGGGTGATCTGTGTTGCTTTTCAAGTGTTAACAATTCCTAAAGTGAACTGGGCAACTCAAGAAACATGATGGGCTGATTAGCTTTTGTTTTGCCAAACTTTCAGTGATTCTAGGAAACAGTTAAACAATGAGGACTTACTATTATTCCAGTTCTCTGTTCCAGCTCCAGTGAGCTTCACTGGCACATCATAATCCGATGTGAAAGTGCCATCTAGCGGGCTGACTGAGGACATCACAATGCAGGCCAGCTGTTCTTTCAGATACATAAAGCCAAATTCCAGTACAGTCGGATATTCACATACAAAAACTGTATTGTGTCATCATGCAAAATGCAAATTGACTACAATACTAAAACAAAACCTTTTTCCATCAGGAATTATTTTCCCACTATAATGCCATCTCTTCTCCAACTCCCCCTTTGCTATCCGGTCCAGCTCGAATAACTAAACACCAGCAGCAACAACTTGCATTTATATAGCGCCTTTCATGTCAGGACGTTCCAAGGCGCTGGACAGAGAGGGTTTGCACTTGAGCTGGGGTTTGGAGTCGAGAAAGGTGAAGGGTAAGGGGTTGGGGGAGAGATGACCGAAGGTGCGTGTGAGCAGGAAGGTCTTGATAGTGGAGAGGGCAGGGAGTGAGACATGAAACAGGCCAGTGCCCGCCGAGTGGGGAGAGCAGACAAATTGGTAAAGGTTTAGTTGGCAGAGGTAGGGAGGAGCAAGATCGTGAAGGTGAGGATCTTAAACTCAATCCTCTGGGAGATGGGGAGCCAGTAAAGCCAGGTGAGGATATGGATGATCAGCTTTGTGCTTTGCGGAACTTGTCAGCTGCAAAGTTCCAAATAATCTGCAGCTTGTGGAGGGAAGAGTTGGGAAGTCTGGCAAGCAGGGAGTTTGCATAGTCAAGCCTGGACGTAATGAAGGCATGGATAAGGGTCTTAGCATCTGGGGGAAAGATAGTAATGGAGGGAGACAGTGTTGCGGTGATGGGGGAAGGCAGAAAATTACTTGGGACCCAAAAACCAGCATTGTGAGTGTGGAAGACATTAAAGTGACCTTCCAGCCAGCTGTAACCCACAGCGCCCAAACAGCACTAACAACAAATATGATGACAAACATCGCTGGCCAGATTATGGCTCTTCTGCACACCTATTGCATCCATATAGTTAGCCCAACATGGACACTAATGTTTGTGAATAGGCTATTGTAGATCAGCTACATGTGATGTGGTGCACAATCCTCATAAAATTAGGGCTAGTACATGTCCAGTATTTGCAGCACAATAGTTGCAAAATTTTGCGTGGGTGTGGATTCCAATCAAGCTGCCATCTGTAAATGTGGCAATTTCTGTTGTAATTAACCGCTGTTCTGTTCATGTTCATAATTGATTGCTCTGAACCCTTGCATGATGTTTGCTCTGCAGGAGTCTGGGCTGCACGGTGGTGGAGATGCTGACTGAGAAGCCACCCTGGGCTGAGTTTGAAGCTATGGCTGCGATTTTTAAAATTGCCACTCAACCTACAAATCCCCAGCTGCCATCTCACATTTCAGATCACTGCAGGGACTTTCTTAAGCAAATATTTGTGGAAGCGAAGCAAAGACCACCAGCAGAGGAGCTGCTCAGACACCAGTTTGTTCAGATTACTCACTGATGGAGGTAGATCAATCTGCGTTTTTACTGTCAAAGGGCTCTGGCGTCTCATGTACCAGTCAGTCTATATAGCCACACTGACCCAGCAACAATCAGCACAGTGTCAGTGCTAGTACTCAGGTCTTAGTTCTGTGGTACAGTGTGAATAATGAGAGGTCCCAGCCAGTTCCAGGATTCTCTATACCGACATTTTCTTCACCACAAATTTTATTTCAACATTGTATGAGAGTCAACTACAAGCCAAGGAGGTGTCGGGTACCAAAACCATTGGAGTGTCCCATTAGTGTAATGAGCATGTGAGATATTGCACAATGTATTCTGATGCAGTGGAGATATTTTTTTTCTGTGGAGGTCATTGTTAGTTTTCAAACAGGACCAGAATACCCACTAACACAGTCAAGTTATCTCTAAAAGCAATGTTACAGATTTGCCTGCTGTTCACTGTGGACAGATTGGATATCGGATGCCAGGCATTGACATGCTGTTCTCTTTCAAACATGCCCTGAAAGTGGAAGTTCTACCAAATATTGAAGCTTGATTTTTTAAATCTTAAACTGTGTCTAACTTGCACGTACCTGAGTGCATTGTTGGCCAAATGTTTTATGGCATCATCAAGGCAAACTAGGTAATGGTTTGATGCTAATTTTTTCAGATTGGCAGATATCAGGAATCACTGAAACAAATGGATGTTTATAATGTAGGCTTCACCAATAATGAGTTTGAGAACACGTTTTATTTTTATTTCACTTTTGTAAAAGATTTTAGTTTCCGCATGCTTCTGAGTTTTTAAAACACTTACTGTCTCTTTTTATAATTTAATTATTTGAAATAAGTAACGAGTATATTGCCATCTACAAGCAGCAATTACTTCAGTTCAGAATGTGATGACATTTAATTCCAATGTCATTTCATTTGTTGCTTAACTGAGTTGCATACTATTGGGTCTGTAAAAGAGAGTGCCTCTTAAGTGATTGGCATCATCTGAGATTAGACTACAAGCTGTTTATTTCTGTTTTAGGACTTTACACTGGGATTCTCTCGGCATTGCTTGAAAATGTACGTACAGCATCTGAACTACTGCTCAAGTACCTACTAGAAAAGAACTTTGGTTTCTTAAAATTATGACCAAAATCACTGCATGTGCAAATCTGCTCCTCAACTCATTGTAGTATCATAGTTTTACACTATTGATCCTCCTTTGTCTAGGCAGGCAAAACAATACCGACAGCCAAATTGTTAAATATAACTATCGCTGGGAAAGAATCCGTGACTGTTGTAATTTTGCAACTTCACGATACAGTGGAATCCTATTATAGTGCTCTACCAATGCCTTGGGATGTTCTTCTGATATGAAAGGTGCTATATAAGTGCAATTTGTTGTTGTACAATACAGTGCTGCCTCGTTTAGTGAGGGTTTACTGTGGATCCATACTAACTGAAAGCATGGTAACTTGCCACTGATTAACTGACTTTCCACACTAAAGAATGGCCACCATCCAGGTTGTCAGGATGCTACTAATGTCATTCTCTATGCACCACATGAAGGAAATGGCCCTAATGGTGCACAGTACGCAACATACAGGCAGCGACATCAGCGCAATTAGAAAACCTGTAAGTTGACTTTTTTGTGCCTTGCTTTCAACAAAGCCAGTGACTGAGACATTGGACCCGGCTGACCATGAGGTTTCCCTGTTTTGTGAATTCTCTAGGAAGTGTCTAGCTATGCTAGTAGCTTAACGAGGATGCTGGTGAATACATCACTGCAAAGCTGAGAATCTCCAAGGCTGAGATCCACACAGTACACGACTGCCTCCATGAAGGATCAGACAGGCAGGAAAAAACATCTGCCAAAGAGTTAAGTGAGACGGGGTCAGCCACCATTGGCAGCTGCTGAAGAGATACCCCCCTCCCTCCCGCCCTTAAGCTCTCACGCCCAATTGTGGAGACTTCCTTATTGTGTTATCTGACAATAGAGATATACAGAACTTGAAAAACTATCAAGTCTCTAATATTCGAAGCAGATTAAGCCAGTAAAGATACAGACTGGGTTTATTAATGCTCCGAATGTGTATTGGTCTGTTTAGAAGTTTAGTGGCTACCTTTCACTTTGTAAATCTACTCCTAGTGTCATTATCATCAAATGGATAAGTGAGGCAGCATCATCTACTCAGTGTACAAATTCTACGGCATCAAGCCCAGCTAAGGTCAAGTTTTTCGTTGCAAGGAAGAGTTGATATTAATCAGGCTCTATTGTACCAACATATTTAGATTTGTAACATCACAATAGTAATGTAGTTTTTACTTTTTTCCAGCTTAATTGAAAAGTTTCAGAATCTATAACTGACTTCATTTGGATAGAATCTAAAAACTTAATATTCTGCAGAACACTGGCTACCCCCGACTGACTAATGTTGGTTTCATTGTGTAACATTATTACAAAAGAAAAGTGAAAAAACATTCATAATCCTTCAAGCATTGATAGTTTAAAGATCTTAAAATAATTGTACCATTAATTTGCCCATCATTAGATTGACTGCCAGCCCTGAACTAAAGACAATATGTGCCAACTGGCTGTGACGATGCACTTTCTTGAATGTATTTTGTACTGAACTTATTTTTTAGCTTTCTCTTGGCGATGGAATGTATGCCTCTTTATTTTTTTTATTTATGCAAGAGAGATGCTGTTTGATGTTTATATGTTGACTAAAGACTGTTAAGCCTACTACATAGAGTGCCTTTTAACAAAAAGCAGCTGGTTTTGCGATACTCGGTGAAAGACTTTGGGGTCAGTTCTGTGCTCTGAAATGCACATTCAACGGTGGATATATTCAACTATTTGTCGTCACATGAAAGGGTCAAATTGTAGCATGAACAAATTTTCTGAAGGAATTACAGTAGATTTATGTTTGATCCACTGGATTAATTACAGTAGATTTAAATTTCCATCATGCAGCTGGCATTGCAAACATCTCCTGGGATAAAGGGACTCATCTCATATTTTATCAGACTGAGATGGCTTCTTTGAATTTAATTAGAATTATAGAAAAATGGTTATCCTTGGTTTTGTGAAACATAGTTAAATCTGTGTTGTAAAGAAAATCATAGAAATATTCACATTTTAAGCCTTGAAAATGAAATATAGAGTCACCATTCGTGGCATTTGCTAAGCACAAAGCTGGGCAGCATAGAGTGTCTCGATAAGATCTTAAACCAGGTAGAAATGCAGTGGGAACTGTTGGACCCCAAAAGTGATTGAGGCTTGCAGTGCAGAGCCACTCCCAATTGCTTGTGTTTTTAAAGTAAGGACGCATCATGTTTCTATTTTTTAAAATAAGGGAAAAAGGATTTAAAGAATTCTTGAAAAAATGCTTTTTCATTGTCCTTGAATGCTTGGTTTCTTTGACATATAACACAACTTCAGTTGGTTTTCTTCTATCCTAAAGATTCAATTTGCTTTCAGTGCAACTAAATATTTGTTCCATAGTGGAAATCTTCTGTCTGGGTGCAGTCATAAAACTCTCTTCAGTAAGCTTTTAGAAACTGCCTCTGAGAATCTAGTAAATGTTCTTTTGTGAAATGGTTAAAACATTGCCTTGCAGATTTTAAACCCGAAACAATTAGATGAGACTTTAACAGCTTGGAATCAGAACCCGCTAAAATCCTTCATTGAATCTTTGCAGACAGAGCAGGTTTGTTGGCCAGCCTTGCTGAGATTGGTCATGTTACCTGCTTCCAAGAAGAATTGTATTCTTTATCTCCAATGGATAACATGTAACCTGTGCATCCTGGGTGTAAAGAATAGAACATTTCTCGAACAGTAATTGTCCGCACTTCTGGCAATGTTACTAGAGCACTAGATGGGAAATGCTCAGGATGATTCATTCTTTGATCCTTCTTGATCTTCCAATTAAGCACAGATCCATTGGCCCTTTTGTCATGACCCAGCTAAGAGTAAGACTTGTGGGTGAGAGACCACAACTGATCTATTGGCCAATAATTGATCAGTCTCTAAATTATCATTACAGCACAGGATTTTGTAATGAATCAGTACAATAATGTGTTTGAAACATTGTTATCCATCATTTAGACTAGAATCATCAATGTAATCATCTGTTTCATGGAGACAGGTTATATTCCAGTAGTGAGATCAAGTTAAAAATGGATAGCATAGTGTACAAGATTCATGAGTGTACAGAAACCAAAGAAAAGGCATTGAGATAATTTCTTTGGCCTGAAGCTAACATACCCCATGATTGATTTTCTTGGAAATGTGTGAGACATGCTGCACAACCACATATGGTACCAGAGGATGTTCAATTGGTGACACAATTGGTGCACAACTTGTGGGGCCATGTCAGGTTTGTGTCCTTGGAGAAGAATCATTATCATTTCATCCCTCAATGTGATGTTGCTCTGAGCTATCTGATGTATGGGCTATGACTTCAGTAGTGAATGGCCCTGAGAGCTGAGCCAGAACTACAGGACTGTGATCTAAGCCCCTTGTTACTAGCCTACGTGATCTTCAGTTTAGTATTGATTAAATTTGATGTAGCGACTTTCACATCAGGAGATATTTCAAAGCGCTTTCCAGGATATAGTGTAAATGTAATCACCGAGTATTTGAAGGCAATCGCAGCTGCCCATTTGCGCACAGCAATTCCCGCAAATGGTGATGAAGTGAATAACCCATTTTATTGGGGAGATTGTTGGCCAGGGGAAAGCAAGAGAGGGAGAGAACGAAGAAGGTAGATCCTTGGTGGATAGAAGAGGTCTGTCGTCTTGCAATCACTCTCTTGAAATAGTGACTTTAGTTGGTGAGATTAGCCCAAGTGACTTGTAATCTGTGTGGAGATGCAGCATTTTCTTTTACATCAAATACTTTCTACCTAAAAATAAATTGCAATGAGATTCTTGAAGGTGAATGTGTAAATACTTTGATGAAACGCCTGATATATTTGTTAAGACATTTTTGTAAGAAATCAAGGGGGTTCCACTACATTTCATAGATGATAAAATATACTTTGCAACATCTAATTTGTGTTCAAGGCTTACATTTCAGTTTCCACGGGGGAAGCAAGGGATCAACAAAATGCTTTTGGAAACTACTGCACGACAACTTCTGTTGAAACATTATGCCTTGATCCCAAAGAAACTAAACTGTGTCTTATCAAATATCTATTTAATGGTGTTCACAAAAGTTTTGAATTTGAGTATTGTTTTATCAGAAATAGAACCTTGCGTATCCCAGACTCCCAGGCTGGAGAAGGATCACCATAAGTTTGATACTTTGGTGTATATAATTTTATATTTACTTTATTTTAAGAATATATGCTTGTACAGTGCTATGTATTTGCACAATCATTTGGCACAACAGTGGTTCATTCAAATTTCAATATGTTCTCTTTGCCCTGTTGGCAGAGTGTACATGATTGTCTAGATTTAGATAATATAGTAATTGTCTGACTTCACTTTCCATTGGGGTGGGTATCTGCTGTTTGTATCCAATTCTCATCCACTGTTGAACTGCAGGCTTTTGTGCACTAAGAATGATGGTGCTTTTCACTGTTTGACTGGAAAGAGTTAACCTCTAAAGGAAAGAAAATCAAAATATTCACTCAAAATATTTTGACAGTAATTATTTACAGAAACTTTAGCAAAGCTGCAAAATGTAAGTAAATGTTTATTCTACATCAACACAACTTTTATAACTCATCTCATATACATTTATACAAGTGGTGGAACACAAGGAAACAACTGCAATCACTATATGTGAATGCAAGCCTGATCTGTGCTGATTTCAACAGTGCTACAATTGGACTCAGCATTCCTGCATAGGGAAAATGATTCCTACTTGATTGCTTATCAAAGGCCCTGCTAGAAAATGTTCATGGGGACAGTGAATGAGGATAGATTCTCTCTTTCCCCCTCCCAAATGCCCATGTCACATCCACTATCTGGAATCTCACACCAAAAAAAAAACTTCTTGAGTGATGCCCTGCTTTTGGGTTCAAAATAGAACTCTTGGTAACTCTTACCTGCAGCATAGACAGAAAATGATAATAAATCATTAGAAGTGAACATAGGTCTGTGACTGCTGAATGAAACTAAATGAGAGTTAACAAATTATGTTCTTTGGAGATTTTTAAGAAATGAAAGTTTTCCATTCATACTGCGGGATTTAGATTTTTAAGTTAAATGGGAGTTCAACATTTTTATAAAACAGTCAATGCCAGCCACTGGAAAAGGAATGGGCAGTACAGGATAAGTAGAAATCTCAATCCAAAGGTGTGCACTTTGCCAAGAAAATTTAATCTGATTCAGTGCTTTTGTTTTCTAGAATTGCAGCCTTCCAGACTGAGGCCATTTTATACTCTCCATGTGTCTGTTTGACTTTATTTTTCCAAATAGAACAAATATGTTATTGCATCTTATATATAAATATAAGAAAAACAGGAGCCACATTTCATGTGAAAAGTATATTGTAACTTTATACAGGAAATCATTGTACAATGAGATATTGTCTCAACCTCCGTTAGAATGTTTGAGCACCAAGTTGCCAATGGTGAACAAGGAGGTAGATGTGATGGTTGCAGCAGGAGCCCGATACCTGCCCAGAGAACACCATATTTAACATATTTGTAATTGTAACTCCATGCATGTTTGATCAATACTTGTTTATGAAATGCTTTCTTTACACTAATATGCACTACATACATGCTCTTGCAGCATTTTAAAATGACTGTAAAAATTCAACAGTATTCTGAATTGTTGTAATATAGTTTTTTTACTGTTTGCAATATTTTATACATGTTCATCAATGCTTGTATGTAGCACTACATACTTTTTAAAAACTTTTACAAATATAAAAGAAAAAATAATGAAATCCTACTTTGTCTCTAGTACATTGCATTATTCCTTAGGTGTTGGTTATTCCACTCATTTTATCTTAATTTTTTGTATTTGGTTATCCAGATGTCTTGCGCATACATAAGCCAATCACCTGGTTCGGTATCCAAATGACACTGATCTGGTGTCTCATCCAGGCTCAGTTGGTGGGAAACTCGTTTCTGAGTCACAAGGTTCTGGTTTGAAGTCATGTTGGGACTTGGATCTTAAATAATTTAGACCCAGTCGTCGCCAACCTTTTTCATTGGGACAACAAAATAAATGTTCTTGATTTCCCAGGTGGGGCAAGACCTTGGGCAAGTTTCCTTACTCCAGGCGCCTCTGTTTACCCAACATGAGGAGGAACCCGATCGGTGGTCGACTGGAGGATGGCTTTTTGGGAGGAATAATCCCTCCAATTGTTTTTTGACAATATTAATTTGGTCTCAATGTGTGGGGGACATCACTCGGGCAATCGGCTGCTGTGGTTTCACACAGAAAATATGTAGTCACTGCACTTAACAGAGGGCAGAGGGGGGCGGGGCTATGAAGTGGGAGGTCCTGGGGGCGGGGCCGTAGAGTGTGAGTCCTGGGGGCGGGGTCATAGAGTGGGAGGTCCTGGGGGCGGGGTCATTGAGTGGGAGGTCCTGGAGGCGGGGCCATAGAGTGGGAGGTCCTGGGGGCGGGGTCATGGAGTGGGAGGTCCTGGGGGCGGGGCCATGGAGTGGGAGAAGGCGTGGTCGCGGGTTCCGGTGGTGACCTACCGGGCGGTGCGTCATTTCCTGGATCGGCGTGAAGCGAGGCCGAGGCCGGGGCCTGGAGTTGGTGAAGGCTGAGCTGAGGTGAGGCTCCGCCTGTTATTGTGTGATCCACGTCTAACGTTTGTAATTGAGATGAGAATCAGACCATCCGCCCCTCGTGTCCGCGCCGCGGCCTCGGGCTGGAGCTGCCGGAGACCCCGCGGCCTCGGGCTGGAGCTGCCGGAGACCCCGCGGCCTCGGGCTGGAGCTGCCGGGAGCGGGTGTCAGTGTCAGAGGCCGATCGATCTCTGGCACCAAAAGTCTTTTTCGCTTTTTTCAGGATTTGTTTCATATAAAAATTGTCGATAATTATCGGTTTTTTAACAATTTAAATTCATGTCGATCTTCAAATCAGGAGAACCTGAAGCACCTCAGACAGCGACAAGAAGCTGAGCTGGAGGACCGGTCTCAAGATGGGCCTTGATGGTGGGAAGGGAGAGTATGAGGTGGACAGACTCCAGGATGGAATTCCAATGGGCAGAAAGCTCTCCACCAACAGGGCCTTTGGGGCAGGGGGACATGAAGCAGATGATGTATTAGGGTTCGGGGAGATTGCAGGAATAGGATGGGGTGAGGCCATTAAAGGGATTTGAATGTGAGGATGAAGATCTTGAATTGGTTCTGATGACGCATTGGTCTGAAGGTTGGGGTGGTGAGCTCATGGAGAGGACACAGGCTGCAGAGTTCTGGATGATCTGAAGTTTGTGTAGCGAGGAGCTGGGGATTCTTGCAAGTATGGCCTTGGAATAAGGTTTTGGCGGACGGGGAGGTAGTGGCAGAGAGGAGGGATATTGGGGAAATGTGGGAAACCCAAGCCAATGAGAGCCTAGATATAATGAATGTAGGGTTTATCCTGGGATGTTTAAATAATTTGAATGTCAGCACAAAAAGGTCATAATCAATTACAATTCTTATTAATCAGATGGTCAAATAATAGAAGAACATGGGACAATATCTAATATCTATTAGATAAAGCAGCGACCAGGTCAGATAAGAGGGTAGTGATTTCTGTGGGAAAGTTTGACAGTCTCAGTGTCCTTAAGACACTTGCAGAATGTTCCCATCAGCCACTCTTATCAGAGAACCTGCGTACACCCTGCACAAGCAATCAAGCCTCAAGCCTGTTCGCCAACCCACACACAACCTTTTAACTCTTTCGTTTCAGGATAACTCCTTACAGAATTGAAGGAGAGTTGGGGATTGAATCAAACATTGAGGTTCTGTGTCGTTTTTGTGAGGTGGAACAAACATTTGTGAAGGTCAGTGTGATCAGACCTGATGTGAAAAGATGTTTAGGGGAGCCAAGCAGGAAAGCCTCAGTCTTTTTGGATAGATGGATAACTTTCTTTTTAAAAAAACATTAACTTGCAGGGAAAGACAGTTATGTGGAACTGAATGGATTGCTCTTTCAAGACACCAGCACAGGCATGATGGGTTAATTGATATGCATGGAACATTTCAACAACAACAACAACAACAAGATTCCATTTATAGAGTGCCTTTCACGTCGGGAGGACGTCCCAAGGTGCTGTACAGTTGGGTCAGGACCCGAGCAAGGGGGAAATGGTCAGGTGAGGGGAGGGAAGGGAGGGAGCGAGGAGGGGGTAGAGAATCGAGAGGGGAGCCGAAGGCTCGATCAAAGAGAAAGGTCTTGAGACCGGCCTTGAAGAAGGAAAGGGTGGAAGCGGCGAAGGCACTGGGGGATAGAGTTCCAGAGCCTGGGGGCTGAGAGGCTGAAGGCCCGGCCACCAATGGTAGGGCGGTTGGGGTGGAGATGTGGAGCAGACCGGAGCCAGAGGAACGGAGGGTACGGGCAGGTAGGTAGGGGGATAGTAGGTCAGAGAGGTAGGAGGGAGCAAGGCCGTGAATGGCCTTGTAGGTGAGGATGAGGATCTTGAAATCGATCCTCTGGGGGATGGGGAGCCAGTGGAGGCGAGCGAGGACGAGGGTGGGAGTGATGTGGTCGCGGTGTCTGGTGCGGAACAGTACACGAGCTGCAGAGTTCTGAATGACCTGCAGTGTGGAGGGAGGGCCGGGAAGCGAGGAGAGAGTTCCCATAGTCCAGCCTTGAGGTGATAAAGGCGTGGACCAGAGTTTCAGCAGCGTGAGGGGTGAGGTAGTGCCGTTGTCTGGCGATATTCCGGAGGTGATGGAAGGCGGTGCCAGTTGTGGCGCGGATATGAGGGAGAAAGGACAGCTCAGGGTCGAACAGAACACCGAGGTTCCTGATGGCTTTGAGAGGTGGAGAGTTGAGCCTGGCCTGACCAAACAAAATAAAAGCTGACTTTTACAGAGGTGTAAAGCTGATCAAGAAGAAGAAAGCTTCTTAACTTTTTAATTAGTAGTCTGTGTTCAGTATCTTCTTGCTTTCAAACGGGATTGGCACTTGATTCATAAGTGAGTACGAGGTAAGTTAGGCCCTGTTATGTTGCTGACTCTGCATTCCATCTTTCTGACTCTAACTAGATGCTGAAGCTGGTGAAGAGAAGGGGCTGAGTGATCAGCAATTTTAAAGCAAGATCGCATTATGATTGCAGGTCTCCAGCGAAGATTAATTAAGCATACATTGATTGTTGTTGAAAAATGTTGTTGTCAAAAATGAGACACTTCAGTCAGGAAATAGATGGAATTGAAATGAATGAAGAGTATTACTGATATTTTGCAGAAACTGGTTAGAATCAGAGTATTTATAAGCAGAGACTGCTGCTTTGTGAAATGCAACATTACTCTTGAGGCAGGTTTGTATCTTTAGTTCTGTATCGTTGTCATTTAACTGGAAAACTTTTGAAATCCTAGTTTTTTTTAAATAATGCAGGGAACCCCCACCCCCCTCCATTTTGTCCTGTCTTACAGATGAAGCCTGATTTCCTATCATAGAGATATAGCTTGATAAGAGTAGTTTAGTGTACTTAGAGAGGAGACAAGGGTTGACGATGTGGAGGGTTCTTCAAAGAATGTGCCTTGTGTCATTTCAGCTTCCTGCTGGAAGGCGTCTGTAATGTACACAACTCTACCAATGTGTGAAATAGAGCAGACAGAAAATTGGGCACCATGTTGTAATACATCAGGCAATACTTGTATCAAAATCTTGGAAATTGCAGTTGAACCATTAGATTTCTAAAATTTGTCTCTTTGTTAATTACAGGCTGTGACAGCATCATGCGCTCCCTATATCTTCTGTTCGTCGTTGTGCTCAGCTGCGGACTTGTAGTCAGCAAGTTTGATGACTTCGATGATACCGATGACATTACTGAGTATGACGACAATGATTTTGCAGAATTTGAAGATGTGAATGAGGATGTGCCTCAGGAGACTCCACAGAAAATTACAACCGTGCAAGATGATGAGGAAGAGGCGACGGTAGAAGTGGAGGACCAGGATGAAAACCAAGAAGATTTTGAAGATCCAGATGCACCTGCAGTAAGTGCGACGTAATAATTAATAATCCTTACATTTGGTAATAATTAATAATCCTTACATTTGGTAATAATGTGACAATTTGCTTGAATGGGTGCTGCCCATTCAGTCCGAATGTTAATCCGGGACACTACGCTGCTGGAAGGGCGCAGTTTAAATGTTGTTGTCGTCGTAATCTGCCACAGTAGAAACAAAAAATCTTCCGCGGTTTCAGTTTCAAAGTGTCTTTAATTGCTGGACTGTGTAAAAGGTTACAAGTATTACAGGTGTGGAGAATGGAAATGCCTTTCTGGCGCAGTATGAGGTGCAATTCTATGTTGAGACATTTTATTGCTCTGTGGAAAGAGCTTTATAATTCAACCAACAATTATTCATAAATACTTTTTCCTAATAAAGGATGGCGATGCAGAGAATGAACTGTTTGACGATGAAGAATTTGAAGGTTATGAAGAGGTAGATAGGCCATCAAGCAGAAGCAAAGACCCGATTAAGATAGTTAACGTAAGTGTCTTGTCTATTTGTTCTCGCCTCAAACCACTAACTTGTCTTGGACTTTAGGTCCACATATCGAGCACCCACTTGACCTTCACCCTAAATGAAATTCTTTTATGTGTGAACCTGGATAGTTAATGTTAGCATGCTATCAGCGCTGAAACATTCCAGTACTCACTCCAAGTATATATACATACACTCGTTGGATAGACGCTATATAAACCGGGATGCTACCCAGTGTGAAGGGCGCAATATCAATGCAAGTTGTTGTTATCACCTTTGGTCTGACAGACTGTTTATTTCAAGTCAAAATTCACTCATTTTTACAAAAAAAGGTTGTTTTTAAAAGGTAGAACTCTTTGTGCCTATTTGCACGTGGATTATCTCTTATATTAAAAATCTGAATGTATATGTTATTATGGCAGAACTCCCTCCGTTGTCTTTGTTTCATGCTGAAAACAAGCGGAACATATTCCTTGAGCATATTCAAGACTGAGATAGATATATTTCTTATTGCAAAAGGATTAAGGGATATGGGGATAAGGCAGGGTCAGGTTATTAGCTGGAGTTAGATTAGAAGATCAGCCATGATTGAATGGCGGGGCAGGCTCGAAGGGCCGAATGGCCTACTGCTCCTACCTGTGATGTTATGTTAAGCGGAGTGTCGACACACTGAGATAGTGATGAGGAGGAGGAGCTTGTGTCCCTGGACATTTTTTGCAATTTCTCTAAATTTCTAACAACTGCTGTCATTGGCCCGTGGTTCAGGTCCCACATCATCTCCAGAACAGCTGGGAGAGCTACTACATGGAGATTCTGATGGTCACTGGGCTCCTTGCTTACATCATGAATTACATCATCGGCAAAAACAAAAACAACCGGCTGGCTGCAGCGTGGTTCAGTTCCCATAAGCAACTGCTTGAGAGTAACTTTGCACTTGTCGGTGAGTATTGAGAGGCATCTGTAACAAGTTGTTGTGATTGTAATTGAAGAAAGAATTTGCATTTGCAAAATCTACAACAACAAACACCACAAGCAACTTCACAGACAATTATTGTCAAATATAGTGACTTTTTGTAGGCAAATCCAGCAGTTATTTAGCACCAAGAAAATCACACAAACAGCTATGAGACAAATGTGGAGTCCTGTAGCTCAGTGGTTAGAGCTCTTGCCTCACAAGCGAGAGACCTGGGTTTGATTCCTGGCAGGGTGAAACCTTGGGCAAGTTTCCTTACTCCACATGTCTGATAATAATCCCTCAAGAAAAAAATGATAAAATTGGTCATTTCAATCCACGACTGTTTGTAGGACGCTGCTCTGCGCAATTGGCTGCCACGTTTTGCCCACAAATATACGGTCAATTCACTTTACAGTATATTCTGTCAAACGCTTTGAGACGTCTTGAAGACGTGAAAAGCGCTATATCAAATGCAAGAATTATTATTATTATTAAATGAGCAGTTAATCTGGAAGATTGCTGGTCGGGATACTCTGAGAAACTTCCTTCTTTGTCTGAATACAACAACAACAAGATTACATTTGTATAGCACCTTTCATGTCGGGAGGATGTCCCAAGGCGCTGGACAGATTACAGCATTTCAGAGACAAGATCATTAATGTACACCTGAATAAAAGGCAGATGGAAGGTCGGTTTTAATGTTTCATCCAAAGGATGCAGTGCATAACTGATAATACTGCGCTGGTTGTTGAGCTAGATTATGAGCCAGGTTTAGACGTGGGTGAGTTCATGAACTGATCCAGAGTTGTGAGTACTCGCAACTGAGTCAATTTGATACCTGATGCTGTTGAAATTGCATAGTAAAAGTGCAAATGGAAACTAAATATAGTGGAAGCCGCTGTAAGCAATTTAAGCAATTCTAGTGTCACATCCAGCTTTGTGCAAGAAACGCAAAGCAAATAAGTGACAAAGGTAACCTGATGACCTGCAAGCCCACCTTTTTAGTGCAAAACAACTGGCCGTGGAAAACAAATGGACTAACTGACTGCTCTCGTGGAAGGGGAACAGGTTCCAAGAGTGTAACTACATTTTTACATAATGTAACCACATTATAAGTGAATTTGTGCTGTAGTGCAGATCGTTTTAAGCAAAGTGCTGGTATTTTCACTTTTAATTATCATACCGAAACAATAATAATCATTGAATTTGATTCAGCAACTTCACCAGTTGCTCAGAGTGGGATTGCCCAGTAATTTTCCTGACACCAGAGTTCACTTCCAAAGCTTTGTGTTTCCCACCAGCACTGGTACCATTCCTGCCCTTCACCTTCATATGATGTTGTTGAGACTTACATATTTTCAATGTAGCTCTCACATAAACCCAGTCTTTTGTATATTTGGTTATTTGGCAAAATGCTCTTCTAGTCGCATCGTTTTTTTTCTTGTAATGTCGCAATTTTGTTAATAACTGCGGCATTAAATATATGCCTATTTGCAGGAGATGACGGGATGAATAAAGAGCCCATCAGTACTGGGAAGCTAAACCAGGAAAACGAACACATTTATAACCTGTGGTGCTCAGGGCGTCTGTGCTGTGAGGGAATGTTGATTCAGCTGAAGGTATTGGGAAAGTGATATTCAAAGTCAATGCTCCATTTTCTCAGTTCAATTTTTTGATGCTACAAGTTAACAGTGACATTGCTGAGCTCCATTGATGTTCCAGTGAGTAAAGTCAAGTCATACAGATCAAAAGTTCAGAATTTAATTTTAGTTTGTGATGAGTTAACTGATCTCAGCCGAGATAGAAGTTGAGATCATACAATGGTCATGTTACCTGTGCTACAAATGGCCAGCGATTCTGGGCTTGTCTCTTATCTGTTGACCCCAGGTAGAAAGTGCATATGTGTACAAGTTAGATGAAGGTGGAATTAGACTCATAATTTAGCAGCAAAGTACCAGAATCATCCCGGTAGCCTCTGAATCTTGCATTTTCAAAAGTGCCAAGAACTGCACATAATATGGCTTATTCTATGAGTAATTCAAGGTTAATATGACTTATTTTAATTGCAATAAAATACTCAAAAGATGCAATGTAGTATTTAGTTGCTTTGACAGCAGGACTATTGCTGATAATTGAGAATACTTCAGTTTGATACTGCACGAACAGTGTTAACATTGTTAATCAGTACAAAATGGGGGAGAATAAAACTAATTTGTCTGTGACAACTTTCTCCAATGATTATTTAAATCACATCTCAGTCACCAGCTAAACCCAAAAAACAAATCCTTTTTTCTTTATTTTAGTTTTTGAAACGTCAAGATCTGTTGAATGTCCTCGCACGCATGATGAGGCCAGCCAGTGACCAGGTGGTACGTACGTGTATATATATGTCTATATATATATATATATATATTTGGGGGTTTATTGAGTATTGTTCTCTCCTGGAGAAGCTCACTTGTTCTGGGTAGTATTCCACAAGTGGTCATGCGTTTCCCAAATGATGTCCATAAGTTCCTAAATAGTGGGAAAGATCCAGACCCTTTGTTCCAGACAAATCCCTAATTTAAAATCAGCCACCCAGCTATCACATGTTCTCACTCCTCTGCTATCACTATTTGTCTGACCCTAAGGATGAGGAGTGAGACAGCTAAAACTAAAACTGAGGCAAATAAGATGTAGAATTGGACTGTAAGTAATTAGGCAGGAATAGGCTATACTGAGTGTAAACAGTATTGTATACTGAGAATAAGCAATTGTTGTGGTTTGTTACCTAAATAAACTATAGCCAACCAGGTCCCAGCGCTCCAGGACAGTACCCTGCATGAAGGGCACTATATAAATGCAAATTGTTGTTGACCATCAAAATGCAATAGCATACATACATTCAGGCTTCTGACGGGTACGATGTCTCCCAAGAAAACAAAACACTTTGGTTTAATTTTCAGCAAATCAAAGTCACAATGAATGAAGAAGACATGGATACCTATGTATTTGCCATTGGTTCACGGAAAGCCATGGGGAGGATGCAGAAGGAGATGCAGGATTTGGTACGTACCAATGGGGTTTCAAGGCGACAGCTCAAGTCTGGAATGCAAATGAAGTGTGTAGTGTGTGTGTGTGTGTGTGTGTCTGTGTGAGAGCAACAAGCATTTTGTAGAAAACAAATCAAATTGTCTTGCGCTAAAATGGCTTTCGTATCATTAGGTTGCCAATGTTGTTGCTTCCTGTTTTATGCATGTGCAGCTCACAGGAAGTGATATCAGCAATGCCCTCAAGATCCAGCAGACAGTCATTTTATTTAGTTCGGAACCAGCTGGCAATAAGGGAGCAATCTGCCCTGCTTCATGACCATGCAATGAAATTGGCTATTGTACCTCATTCTCGAATGTTTTGAATTCTGACCACCTCATTATTGGGTCAACTTTAGAGGCTTTTACAGTGAGCAAAGAAGGTTATTACGTAATATTCTGGTTCTACCTATTTTTGGAAGTCTGCAAATTGCTGGAATGTGTGTGATAATCTTCCTGAGTTACATAAAGGTATATTGTTAAACTTCCAGAGTGAATTCTGCAGCGATAAGCCAAAGTCAGGGTCTAAATTCGGAATTCCGGATTCACTTGCTATCCTGTCCGAAATGGGAGAAGTCACAGAGGGAATCCTGGATAACAGAGTAAGTAACCTGAATTAGAAAATGAGCTGAAGTATATGAAAGTTAGGTCTTATTTCTTTAGTAGACCACTAACTTGTAGGGAATTGTGATAAGGAAATTAGTTGATAATGTTTTGGAAAGAATTTGATTGTTGACAATGGTTTCAGATTCAAATAATCGTTTCCTTTATTACACAAATTATCAAGTTAATGGTTATACATGTTCGAATAAACAGTATCAACGTTTCTGGATAAAGTAGTAACCAACCATCAGGAGAAATGTGCAGTGACCTGTCCCTGGGAGAAAGGCAGCAGATTCAATGGATTCACTTCTCATTTGTTTCTGCCTGAACCAGTTCATTCTATACAAACGCTGAACTATCTGTATTTATACCTAACTGGTTACTGTGTGTGAAGCCCAGACCAATGAAATAGCGAATATATCATTTATGTCTAAAGCTCATTGGCCTAATGCTGTAGGCCATGTTCCCACCGCAAGATGTTTCCCGGTTAATAAACCATAGTTCAGTTATCAGAGGCTAGAATACATTCTTCGTGAACAATCATTCCTCACAAAGTTTTTATCTCACTCACAGACATCACATGTCTTCAGTGCTTTCCCACACAGTTAGCATTTTATCTCCTTACAAACGTTTTGGGTTTCTCAGTCATCTATAATGTTTGTTCAGTAAATACGATTGAGATTTACATACAAAACCAATGCAACATTTTTAATTGGATGATTAAGCAAATCAGAACTCTGCTGGTGCCTGAGCTCCTCTAGAACTACAACGCACTGGTAAGATGGCTTAGTTCAGGGAGATCCAACCACAGCGCCGGCCAGTCCAGGGAATGATTTGTGTCCCGCGAACCAGGTCCAACTATGGCTTTCTCCGGATTTCAGAGGGATATTTAGAATTATTCCTTCACGGGAAGGAATAATGGGTTTCTACAAAGCTTTGGTGTGACTTGGAATTTCAGTTCTGGTGCCTCCATTGGTGATGGTCTTTCCACCATTAATTATTTTCTCAGAGAAACTGTGTTAATCCTTAGGATCTCTCTTCCCAACCCAGTTAAGGATTGTAGCTCACATCAAACTCATCATTTGTAAAACACACTTTCTCACGTTTCAAACGACTTTGTTTTCAATTTAGTGGGAGTAGATTTTAATGATGTAGATGAAAATGCTGAAGGTACTCCTTCTATACAGAGTTCAAGCATGTTTTTTTCTTTGTTTCCAGATGGTGCATTTCCTCTCGTCTCATGATGATAAAATTGAGTCCATTCACTTTTCGGATCAGTTCTCTGGGCCTAAAATAATGCAAGAGTAGGTATCCACTAGCTCACCATTACCAAACAGATTGATTTCAAAATCCTCACACTTGTCTTCAAATCCCTTCCTGCCCTGGCACCTCCCTAACTCTCCGACCTGCTTACTCCCCAACCCACTCCCTGCTGCCTCCGCTCAACTGACTCTGGCCTCCCCTCCTTGTCCATTGTGCCCTCTGTTCCACCATCAGTGGCGGTGCTGTCAACTACTACGCCCAAAAACTCCCCAATGGGAGGAAAGTTACTGTCCTGCTGTTGTTGTTGTCCTTTGCTTGTTTGCTCACATGTTTACTAAGAGGACAATTGGAAACTTCCAGGCTTTTGTAATGATGAGAGTCATTTGCCATGGTGACTCTTCACACTGTAGGAAGATATTGCACACAGCGTAGTTTTGGGAAATGGATGTGAAGCCCACTACATCTAGTCACTGTCTATGCTGCATCATATTCAAATCTCTGTCTTCTACAATGGGGTCCCAAACTGTACCTAATACTTAATGCTTTTGTCCTTTGTTTTCAGTGCCTCGGTTTATAAAACCCTGGGTCTATCTACCAAACTGCTTTCCCATAATTCTTTGTTCTTCTAATTCCTGTAGAATTTGTTTGTAAAATACATCTTTTTCTCAAAGTATATGATGTACATTAGTGTTCAAACATGAAAGGCATTGTCATATCTTCTCACATCCCTAGCCTGTCTATATTTAGCTTTGAATTTTTTTTTCGTATTTGCCAGGAGAATAGTTGGGCTAATTTAGGAGAAGGAAATTGGTCGTTATCCAAATATTTCTGCTGGAAAGTGTATGTGCTTGGCTCAGCTGCGATTTTCTCATCTTTCCTCTCCCCCTCTCCACAACTGAGTGGGATGGGAGAAAAATTGATGGAAATAAGATGGTGTGCCTACCTCTTCAATTCAATGATTATTGTTTGTTTTTGTTTAGAGAGGGCCAGCCCCTCAAGCTGCCTGATACTAAAAAGACACTACTGTTTACATTTAACGGTAAGTCCAGGTTTGTATTTATTTTCTCCCATCATGAGAAATCACTTGTTAATTTGATATATAATGGATAGAAATTTGACAGAATGACTAAATGACAAAAAATGACAAGGGCTAAATGGATGCTTTCAGCCTGGAGTGGTAAACAGTGGTCATTGATCAAACCTCACTCGCTTTGTATCTCTCCCTTTACTCAATCTGTGTGTCTCTCTCATATATATATATATTTATATATAATCTGAACTCTTTAAATTATATGGAGCACAATAAGTAGGCAAAACTATATAAAATGTTAATGGGATCATAGGTTTTATAAATTAGAACATAGAATTCAAAAACAAAGAAGCAATGTTCAACAACAATAACAAATTGCATTTATATTGCGGTTTCCACGTTGGGAGGACATCTCAAAGCGCTGGACAGTTAAGGATTTGCACTCAAGCTGGGGGTTGGAGGCAATGGGGTGGGGGAAGATGACTAAATGCATGGTTGTAAAGGAAGATCTTGAGACAACAACAACAACACAACTTGCACTTATATAGCACCTTCCATGCAGGGTAGTGTTTCAGAGCGCTTAACAGTTGCGGAGCCTGACTCTGATACGGGGGGAGGGCGAGGTTGCCGCAAGCCACGTCGAAGAGGAAAGTTTTCAGGCGGGACTTGAAAGAAGGGGGAGAGGAAGCAAGGCGGAGGGATTGAGGGAGAGTGATCCAGAGTTTTGATGCGTAGTGACTGAAAGCACAACCTCTAATGGTGGGGTGGAGAGTGCGAGGGATGAGCAGGAGTCAGTCGCGGAGATGCATGGGCCTTGAAGTAGGCAAAGGAGGGGACAAGGTGGAGAGCCTTGTCGACATTCAATTGGAGATGGTAGTTCCAGAGGTTGGGGGCAAAAAGGCTGGAGGTCCTACTGCTGATGGAGCAGGTTGGTTCTCACCGAGGAGGGAGCAGACAGATTGGTAATGTTTTAGTAAATCACAGAGGTAGGGAGGAGCAAGACCGTGGAATGCTTTAAAAGGACTCAATCCTTTGGGGGATGGGGAACCAGGGAAGCTGGGTGAGGATGGGGGCGATCGGCTCACAGAGCTGAGTGTGGGAGAGGACACAAGCTACAAAGTTCTGAATAATCTGCAGCTTGTGGAGTGAAGAGTTGGGAAGTCTGGAGAGCAGGGGAGTTATAGTCAAGCCTAGACATAAAGAGCATGAATGCTAGGAGCCTGAGGGGAGAAGTAGTGGTGGAGGCGGGCAACGTTGCTGAGGTGGGAGAAGGCAGAACTGGTCCAAGCACAGATGTGGGATTTAAAACCCAGTTGAGGGTTGAAAAAGACATCAGGGTTCTGTATTGGCTCAGTAAGGTGGAGAGAATATCCGTGATGCTGTCAGCATCTGAGGTGAGGGGACACTGATGGAAACTAAGCAGGAAGGTCTTGGTCTTGTCGACATTAAACTGGCAAAAATTGGCTCTCCAGGACTTGATGTCCGACAAGCAATCTGTCAGGACAGCAGCAGTTTGGAGTTGAGTGTGTAAACAGAGTACAGAGTAATTTGTAAATTTCCACATTGAATCAGTAAATAGAGGGCATTACGTTTGGGGTCATGCTCAAAACAATAAAGGAAAATATTAGTATCGTTTGTGCACAGTTAGTACGAGATTTTTTCCATTAATGTTTCTTCAGCTAAACTCTTAAAGGTCTCTTTATGTAGTTCCTGGTCTGGGCAACACTTCTCCAAAGGACATGGAATCCTTGCTGCCACTGATGAACATGGTTGTTTACAGCATTGACAAGGCAAAGAAGTACCGGTTGAACCGTGAGGTAAGAACACATAGAGTAAGAGAAAAACTTCCTGGTGTTTGTCCTCTTGCTCTACTATCTTGGTGCATCGTAAAGTATTATTCTGGGCCAAATGACTTCCTGTGAAATTTCTGATTCATAGCATTAATTTTTCCACTTTTCCCAGGGTAAGATGAAGGCTGATAAGAATCGCGCTCGTGTGGAGGAAAATTTCCTGAAGATGACTCATGCCCAACGGCAGGAAGCCGCACAAACACGGAGAGAGGAGAAAAAGCGTGCAGAGAAAGAAAGGATCATGAATGAGGAGGATCCAGATAAACAACGCAGGCTCGAGGTACAGAATAAAAATCTGCCAGAGCAGCAGTTACCAGAGTTGCAAAAGAAAAATTTCAGGAAAGTACCAGGAAGTTTTCCTTTATGCAGAGGTTAATTTACAACTCTTAAACAAGTTGCTAGGGAAGGTAGTAAATACACTGCTATGCACAAATCGGCTGTTGAAGTGCCCACAAATCACAGTTGTTACACTTTCCTTCCAATGTGAAAATTAACTACTGCAGTCTTCTTTGTCAGCATGATGATACATGCAGAAACCTATTTCTACGCTAAAAGAGAAACCAAACCACTACTTGATGTGGCTGAGACTTTGTTAAAAGCTAATAAATTTGCAGAATATTGATCTTACACACTGCTCTAATATTTAATATAAGATTTCTGAACTGCTGTGGATTTCGGTTTCTTTCTCATCTGGTCTAATTATCACCTCTCCCTTCCAGGAAGCTGTTCTACGCCGTGAACAAAAGAAGCTGGAGAAGCGACAGATGAAGATGAAACAGATCAAAGTGAAAGCGATGTAGAGTACCAAATAAGGGATGATGTTACCCTTGCATCAATCACCTCATTGTTCAATTGTTCAATTTTAATGAGAAACTCAGGGCACTAAGTAATTGATTAGCAATTTATGCAAAAAATTGTTACACTTCACAAGCTCTAATAACAGTCTTTGGTATTTTGGATTTTGATCCCTCGCCCAATGCAACTTTTAGTCATTAGCCTCCTAGCCTCTGTGAGGTAAGTCTTAATTCTGCATGGAATGCAAGACCTATTTTGTGGTGATCCACATTAGGCCAGATTGAAACTAAAATATAGTTCCATTGTCTTAAGATCATCCCCATACTGTAAGTTTACTTAAACTGGCTGGAAATTGAAACTTTTTCAAATGAAATTATGTTTGTACAGAGATTTGGGCAGATGCCAAACAGCTGAGTGTTGGAATAGAGCAATGACCTAATGCCACTGTATAGAGTGGGTGCCATAAGGGAAACCCCCGTTTGTTTCATTCTCTACCTTTTAGATGAATATGAATGAATGGAAATGTGTATTGGAGCCGTGCACTTTCACTTATTTTTACTTTATATAATGATTAAATTGCTAATCCAATACTCTTCCTGATTGGCTGAAATCGTTTGTGCAGCAAGTGTCCACACAGCACTGGAACGAGCACCTGCTACACAACCAGCACCACCTGCGGTTCTGCGGACGTATTACAGCCACTGACATCCACACAGTGGCAACTGCAGTCCTGCGGGCACATGCGCTGACGTCCCCACGTATAACAACAACAAACTGACATTTATAGAGCGCCTTTCACGTTGGGAGGATGTCCCAAAGAGCTGAACAGTCAGATGTCGGGGCCAGAGTTTGGGGGAAGGGTGGTGTAGGGGTGAGGGAAGGCAGAGAGGTGGGAGGGAGATCAAATGTACGATCGAAGAGAAGGGTCTTGAGACCGGCCTTGAAGGAGGCAAGAGAGGAAGCAAGGCGAAGGGACCGTGGGATGCAGTTCCAGAGTGTGGGGGCAGAGGTTGAAAGCCCGGCCATTGATGGTAAGGCGGGTCGGGCGGGAGACATGGAGCAGGCCGGAGCCCGCTGGACGGAGGGAGCGGGCAGGTTGGTAGGGAGCTAGCAGGTCAGAGAGGTAGGAGGGGCAAAGCCATGGATGGCATTGAAAGTGAGGACGAGGATCTTGAACTTGATCCTCTAGGGGATGGGGAGCCAGTGGGGTCGGGCGAGGGATGGGGTCACGGAGCCCGGTGCGTGGGAGCACACGAACTGCAGAGTTTGGGATGATCTGTAGCTTGTGAAGGGAAGAGTTGGGAAGCCGATGAGGAGGGAGTTCCCGTAATTGAGCCTTGATGTGAGGAATGCGTGGGTGAGGGTTTGGGCAGCCTGAGGGGTGAGGCAGTGGCGGAGTCTGGAAATGTTGCGGAGGTGGTGGTAGGCAGTACCAGTCATGGTGCAGATGTGGGGGAGAAATGACAGCTCAACAGGACACCAAGGTTCCTGACTGGCTCAGTGAGGTTGAGTGTGCAGCCGTGGAGGCTGATGCTGCCAGCGCCTGAAGCGCGGAGGCGCTGGCGCGAGCCAGTCAGCAGAGCCTCGGTCTTGCTGACCTTGAGTTGGAGAAAGTTGGCCCTCATCCAGGACTTGATGTCGGACAGGCAGTCGGTCAGGACGCCAGTAATCTTGGAGTTCAGGGTGGAGGCAGAGAGGTAGAGTTGGGTGTCATCCGCACACAGGTGGAAATTTAGGGTTAGGGTTAGTGGTTAGGGGTTAAGGTTAGGTTGTAGGGTGCTGGGTTAGCGTTAGGTTTCTTACATTTCAGGGGTGATTCGGGGTTGCAGGGGCTGGCTCGGGCTTGCTGGGGCTGGCTCGGGCTTGCTGGGGCGGGCTCGCCGGGCCTGGCTCGGGCTCGCCGGGCCTGGCTCGGGCTCGCCGGGCCTGGCTCGGGCTCGCCGGGCCTGGCTCGGGCTCGCCGGGCCTGGCTCGGGCTCGCCGGGGCTGGCTCCAGGGGCTCCAAGAGGTCCAAGAGCTCCAGGGGCTGTTTGCTGTTTTGTTGCCAACTTACTATCAATTCTGCTATTTCCCCCTGACTCCACATGCTCTGACCTTATTCATAAGTCTATCATGTGGTACCTTATCAAACACCTTTTGGAAATCTAAATATATTACATGTACCACATTTCCCTTGCCTACTCTTTCTGTTACCCTCCTTGAAAGATGGTTAGTCAGTGAGGTTAGTCAAGCATGACCTTCCTGTTTGAAACCCGTGCTGACTATTCTTTATTATGTTTTTCCGTTTCTAGATGTTTTTCTATTATCTCCTTCAGTAAGGATTCCATTATCTTTCCTACCCCCAATGTTAAGCTGACAGGTCTGTAATAAATGACCAATTTATTATTGTTTTGGGTTTTGAAGGGATTATATTAGGCTCTGTGTGGGAGTAAGGAAATTGCCCGAGGTTTCACCCTCTGCCTGGAATTGCACAGGTCTCTCACTTGCAAAGTGAATGCTCTAACACGAGAGCTACAGGACTTTCTCCTCTCTATCACACTTTCTTT